AACTACAAAGACAGCACTTTTTGCTGCTTTTTGTGCAGCAGCAAATACTTGTTTTGATTTTAGGTTTTAAAAATTGAGGTGCACATGACATTCAATGGCTCGTGACACTTGAATCAATATGGTATTAGTCAGGTTCTCCATGATAGACTTCTCCTAGAACCATGATGGCGAATCTATGACACATATGTCAGCACTGACACACGTAGCCATTTTCGATGACACGCAACCTCATTTGGCTGCATACACAGAAGAATGGGGCCGCACCCCGAGAAGAACATTTCATCCTTGACTCCTGCACCAGCATTTTTCTATAATGTCGAGATATATGGAATTATAGAAAAAAGCAGGTAAGTTAAATAATTAGTTTTTTTGTTTATTAAATACAGTTATATATTACAATAATATATTTTTGTTATATTTTTTTTTCTCGAAGTGACACCCTACCTGAGTTATGCTCAGTTTTTTGGAGAGTTTTGACACACCAAGCTCTAAAGTGTCCATCACTGTCCTAGAAGCTTAAGCCCGGAATTGTGTTGGCGGAGCTAGAAAATCCCTAGAAAGGATATCTTTTTAGGAATCTCTAGGCCCTCCAATGCACCTCTGTGGTAGACCAGAAGTGAGGGAAGAGTTTAATGGCATTTGGTTGTATTCACAATTTCACATAAGAGCAATCCAACCAGGAACATATCCATCAATGGGTACAGAAGCATAGGAAGAAAATGCTTGCATTATTAGGTGGATGAATGTCCAGCACCTTTGCTGGGTTCTGCTGCAAGCTTCCTCTTCTCTTCCTGAGCCACCGACTCCTCCAGATCCTTTGGCGTGGGATCCAGCATCTCCCACTCTTCGGTATAGAAAATGCTCCTGCGGTTTTCACCGCTTCCTCTCCCCGGTCTCAGATGAGACACAGAATTCCTGCAAAGGACAGAAGGTAAACGTGGTTATAGCTTTCAAGTCCCGAAGACTTAGCAAATCACCTTGCATCGCTCTTCAAAGAAATGTTGTGTGCCATTGAAAAAAAGGCAGCATACATGGGCAGCATACAGAAACGGTGGGAGGCAAAGCAGCTGTATTTCCAAGATTAATTTCCTTTGCTTCCGAACCCCATCAAAGCAGGAAACCCGCTTACAGCAATTAACTGGAATTTTTGTCATGTTAGACAGGATTGCTTGTCCTAGAACCCTGAAAGCAAAACACACATTCAAAAAGCTTCCTTGCCTTTCGGTTAAGATTCTCAGGATGAACTCAAACTCATGTGAAGAATGAGCAATAAGCAATAAAACAACTGTCACAGAAGAATGCGCAAAACATATCTCACTAGTCGGGCAAAAGCTTCGGTTCTATCGCTCATTCTCCAGTTTGGTGCTTAAGAAGTTTGCAGTGTTTCAAAAATAAAACCGAAAACCAAGATCCACCAGCGTCCCATATTCCATCCAGAACAAAACACAGCCCAGATCTACATTTTATCCACTGAACTACAAACTGGAACCCTTTTCTTCATTTCAAGTCCAGGTTTGACACAGAAACAGCCTTCTCCTGTTTCTAAAAATGGATGCAAAACCGCAGTCCACACACCAGGTCTTCCAAACAGCCAAGAAAGTGACTGAAAGACAGCTTGACAACTTGTGAGGGAAGTAAACCACCAAAGAGGCAAATTCCGTTCTGAAAGCAAAAGTCCCAATTGCAAAATCTCAGGCTGCCATTGCTCTGCTCGAAGGTTACTGGAGTGCACTGTGTTTCTTGGAGGGACCTCCTTCCAGCTCCACTCCGCAGAGTTTCCAGGGTGTTTTTTTTAACTCTGAATAATCAGAAACAAAACAGCCAATGTTTCCTCCTTGGGCCCATGTGACAATTGTGCATTATTATCTGTGGGCCGTGCCCTTGAGAATAGCGAACACCCTTCTTCTCTCTGTGAAGGGCTTCCTAGCATGGTTCAGCAGCTGTTGCAACATATGACGGCAGCCTTATCGGCTGGTTTGCACGTGACAAAACTGCTGCAGAGCTGAAGGAGAAGGCCTGATGTTGTGGGCAAATGGCAAAGGAGGGGGAACTCAGCAGATGGAACGCCTAAGAGCTGCCTCTGCTCCTTCTCCACATCCTTTCCCAGGTCCAGAGGAAGAAGCAGGAGCCACTCCTCTTGCCTTGCTTTGCATCTATATGCCAGGAAAACTCCAGAATCCCGCACACATTTATCTATTTATTTTGTATCAAAAGCATTGCATAAATTAGTATAAAACTGATAAAAATAGAAGGCGCACAGGTGGCTAAATATCTGTTGACCAAAAATGGGCAACGGCAACAGCATTCCAACAATTCCTCCTCTGTACATGAGGCAGGGCACAGTGGACAACCATATAGATGCAGAGTTGTCTGTTCTGCTCCACAGTCACACAAGGTGTGGGATTCTTTTAGGTTGTGCCATTTTGCCAGTTTGTCTTCTGATCTGCCCACTCCACTTCTGAGTCTGTTCAGGCACTTCCAAGTTGCCCATTCCTGGTTTGCCCCTGGAGGAAGACCCTCTCTTGTGGGTGGCCATCCAGTTGGGATTCCCTGGTTTAGCTGCCCAGAGGGATACCCTTGCTGTTACTGAGGCGATGCCAAGAGGAATGGTAGTTCTCATAAAACCTTTCCTTGATTTGAGTCTGCTGGGAGGAGGCTGGTAGCCATGTAGTGGGTGGCTTTCACAGTGTTCAACCTTATTTCTTTCACATTTAGCAGCAATTTCCCATTGCACATGGGGGGAGGGGGCAAAGAACACAAAGAACATGAAACAAAACAAAAACATGAAACATGCACACAAAGAACATGAAACAAAACGTTGGAGGGCTCTCTTGTGCCTGACACAACTGTGTCACATCCATGCATTCCCCAAAGTTCCCCCAAGACATCCTCCCACCGTAATTCCATTTAGCTCCATTTTCCAGCTCAAAATGATGCCAGGAAATCATACTGCATCATGTATGAGGAAAAAAGGAAGTATTTTGGGATAGTATAGTACAGGGTTCTGGCATGTTTGGAAGGAGGATGGGCTTTTCAATGGGACTCCGCATGGTTAAGGAGGGCAAAGATCATGCCAAGATTTGTTTGAGGTGGCTCTGGGAGCCACAAAAGTGGGGTCTAATGGACGCAGACAACGGCCTCCAAGAAGATAAACCATCACAAACTGGTATGCAATTGGTGTCGAAGTTAATGTATTGTCGAAGGCTTTCATGGCCGGAATCACAGGCCAATGGAGACTCCACCTCAGACATCAGAAAAGAGCTGCAAGACCGAGAACAAGCCACGAGAATAAAGACGAAGATCCACCCAGAGGAAAAGTGTTCTTGCCATACATCAAGGGAACCACTGACCGCATAGGGAAGCTGAGGAAACACAACATACAAACTATCTACAGACCCACCAAGAAAATCCAACAAATGCTACGTTCAGCAAAGGACAAGAGGGATCCTCTCACTTCTGCAGGAGTCTACCATATACCATGCAGCTGTGGACAAGTCTACATAGGGACCACCAAATGCAGCAGCATTGCCCAAACACGCATCAAGGAACATGAAAGGCACTGCAGACTCCTTCAACCAGAAAAGTCAGCCATAGCAGAGCACCTGAACCAACCTGGACATAGAATATTATTGAGAACACAGAAATGCTGGACCACTCTCACAACCACCATGTCAGACTACACAGAGAAGCCATTGAAATCCACAAGCATGTGGACAATTTCAACAGAAAGGAGGAAACCATGAAAATGAACAAAATCTGGCTACCAGTATTAAAAAAACCCTCTAAAATTACAACAGCACAACAACAGAGAGGAAACAAACAAGGACATCTAATCACCTCTCAACAAAAGTTTGCTCCAGGCATTGTCAGGTCATTATATGCTAACCAAGGTGGTCAGTTGAAACATTCACACCTAGCTCCAACAGACAAGAGTCCTTTGTCCCACCCTGGTCAATCCACAGATATATAAACCCTTTTTCCTAGTTCCAACAGACCTCACTACCTCTGAGGATGCTTGCCATAGATGCAGGCGAAACTTCAGGAGAGAATGCCTCTAGAACATGGCCATATAGCCCGAAAAAACCTACAACAACCCGGAGTTGAAGTTCCTTTGCAGCGTTACTGTTCACCTCTTTGGTTCAGTGTTACATCAGAATCACATCCTAGAGTTAAAAGGTGTTAAAATGACGAGTGTGGCACTCAAACTGCAGACGCAGAAATAGCTCAGGGCCTTCTATGAACAGGTTGCAAGGTCCAGTGGTTCTGAAGCCACAGGGGACATTTTCTGTGGTCAAACTGAGAAGAACAGGGGAAATTGTAGTGCGTATTCAGAGCCACAGCTCTTCTTTTGAATGTCTTTTTGCGCAACTGCGTAACAGGGCTGGGGGGAGGACAGGGACACTATCAGTCACACTGAAGTGATCGGGAGGAAGTGGACCTTGTTTTTCCAGAGCTGCCAAGGCAACTGTTGACCTGCATATGCCTTGGTCTGTAATTATGTGGGGAAAGAGCCAGGAGGGAAGGCTCAAACCCATGGAAACAGATGCATTTGTACTGCTGCAGCTGGGCATAAATGGAGGGATCCCTCCCAGGGCAACCTTTCCAAAGGCAGGAAGGGCTGCTGAGCAGAGCGCTGAAAGAAGCAAGACCAGACGAGGCTGTTGCCAAAAGCCGGCCAAGGTCAAAACAGTGATTTCAGCTGCCTGGCGGGCTGCACAATGGTGACAATACCCCTTTTCAGAAAGAGAGCACACAAAGGCCGGGGTGTCCTCTTTGACGGCACTTGTTGCGAGATCAGTATTTCAATTATCTGGGTCTGTTAAGCCGGAGGAACCCAAGCATGTGGTCTGCATGTCCCTTTCAAAAAGAGCTATTTCCCTGAGTCTCATGTGCTATCGAATCTAATGCGCACCTCAATTTTCAAAACCCTAAAACCAAAATAAAAATAAAAATAAAAATTTGTTGGTGAATGTAATGTCCAGCAGCAAAAAATGCACTCTTTGTAATTTGGCTGAAAAAAGGTGCACATTACAGTTGCTGCCCGATTAGGATTCCTTCTTTAAAAACAAAAGTGTTAGAGCACCAAAGCTTCCAGCAATGGAAAAGGAAAACCTTGGTTGCATCTGTGATGTAGAATGAATCCACTTTAACTGCCCTGTCTCAATGTTACGAAATCATGTAGCTTTACAAAGTCTTGAGCTTCCTCTGCCAAGAATGCTAGTGGCTCACCAAACTATAAAGCCCAGGGTGGCATAGCCACGGTGTGAAGATAGAGGCTTTATTTGGGCTATAAGTCCCCAAAGGCTGAACACCAATATGTAATAGAAAGTGGCTTCTTTAATTAAAAGCCAAAACAAAAAGCTGTTATGAAAGCTGGAACTTTCTTCTGGCCAAAAAAACCTTTTGAAAGATCTCTGGCACCCACCAAACTTAAAAGCAATGAAAAGCCCTTGGCTTATTTCAGGTATCTTCTGGCTAGAATGTGCTGGATTCGCACTCAGGCCTGTGCACTGAGGTAACATTGAAGAGATTACAACTTTGAAATATACGCTGCCACCATTAAATTCTTGATTACTGCAGGAAAACTTGTTTTAGAACTTCAGACAGAGGCACACGTGACGCAGATGTTATGAACAATGAAACAATGATGTTTATTTAAGAGACCATGAACAAAATAGGCATTAAGCTTAGTTGGTTTGAAAGATTGTCTTAAAAGTGTGTGGTTTCTTTAAGCAGTTCCAAAACTTAGTTGCAAGTAACACTTCTCTCTCCCTCCAGAGATTACTGACAGGATTTCTTCTCTGAAAATAACCCCAAACTCCACACAGGCAGTCCTTTTCTTTTGGGATCTGTCTCTCAACTCCCCAGCTATCCTTCCCAAATAGCTGTAATCTTCTCACTAGCTATCTCTGCTAGCTAACTGACCACTTCAGGCCTCTCTCACTACTCTTCTCCACACCAAACTCCTAGCTCCTTCTCCTTTCACCCCTAGATTCAATCTCTCTGACAGGGTTTTAAAACGTCCCCTTAAAGTCATTTTTTTCCTTTTCTCAGTTAAGCTCTGCCCACTCTCTCCCAGCCAATCACTAACTCCTCTCATTTCCCTCCAAGTACCTAAGCACGCCCCTTCAGGAAATGAGATTTAACATGGATGCCCCCGGTACCCTTTCCAAAATGGCTGCCGAACTTCCTAGGCCTACTTTCTTAGACTTTTCCTAGCCTAACAGTTAGGGAATCCATCATACACGGCCATTAAATTTGAGGTGACATTCCTAAATAGAAGCTCCAGGCACCTCTGAAACAGCTTCCCCATTTGCTTTAGCTCAGGACCAAGATTACTGCATTACGCCAATCTAACACGCAGCCTAATTTTGGTGAACCAATTAAGCCAATTAAGATGAGCATTAGATACGAGCAAATACACTAATTCTGAATCTGGGACGTGGAGAAGACGGGGCATTGCCTGCCTCCCTGGCTTGGTTTTAACTCGACAGAAGAAGACCTGTCGTGCTACAGCGGCATGTGTTTCAAATGTGTCAGGTATCGAGGAACACAACACACACTTCCACAAACCATACTCACTTGATCTCAGCACCCCATTGCTTGAGGGAGAAGTTGATAGCGCTGGGCTGGCCGGGGGCTGGATGGCAGGCGGCTTGTTCTCCCACCAGCTCCGTGGGCACAGTCTCCACTGCAAGGACGTTCCTGGCTCTCTCCGCCGAGGCATTTGCGGGCAGGAGATTTACATCTGAGGGCAAGGCACACCGCTATTCATTAATAATACACACCAGCAGCAACCGGCACTTCACATCACCAGCCTCATCAGCCCCATACCTTTCATACGGCCAACCTTTCAAAGACAAACACAATATCTTTGGAGCAACACATGCCTCTAGAAATCTCTGTTTCAAAGTGAGCAAGTTGAAGATTGCAGGCACACCTTCAAACTTTTCCATGACATAGAACGACCTCACACTCTGCAAAAGGAGTGGATTTAGCAGGAATCTTCCGGATTGAGTCAATCAGCCTCTCCTGACACCTCAAAGTGAGCTCGAGCTTGCTTTGTTGGCCATTTGCATGTCCCTTTTTTAAATGGTGGGAATGAATGCAGAGCCATACTGCATTTCTGTGAGTTCTTTTCTCCAGAGGATGACAACCATAAGCACATAAGCCACAAAAATGCTTTTGTGGTAGATGCGTAAAAGAAGTAGTCCATCTAGGATGTGATTTTCCAGCTTGGAAGAAATCAAGACCTCTGGACACCCATTATCCATATTGTGTGTCACAGACAATCATCGTCGCTGAACTGGCAAAAGTTTGAAGGCAAAGAAAATACAACTGTGGGCTGAAGGCAAGAAAACACTGTTTCTGATGCAAAGGATCTTTGCCTGTTCCAAGAGATTTCTAATGTGACATTCCCCCCTGCAAGTTTCCTGACCCCATTCCTGATGGCTAGTAGGTCACCACAGACTAATGGTGGAGGACCAAAGCAAACTTTATGGTTAATTTCCAGAGTCCTACTGGAGCACCCAGAAACGCTTAGAAAAGACATCATGACCAAATTCATAAAGTGAAACCCACAAATGTGGAGGGCTGGCTGCACCTTAAATAAGATGCCAAGGGGATCTAGGGTCCAGTCATTTACTTTAAGAACAGAGACTCAGATGGCGCAGCCATGTCAAGGAAGAGGCCCGCGTAAACAAGCTGCCCTTGTTTACGCTCAATTTTTCCATGCAGATTGATTTATCACCTTTGGGTCAAGGGTAGCGTTTCCTCAGCACTTTGCAGGCCATAACTAGCATGAGACGCTCAGGTTTATCAGGCCTGTCTAAACACATCTCTTCAATGGAAGGGTTTTGTGCAGCCTAAACTCCTATGTGCACTTTTACCAACAAAGACTTTGTTTCATCAATAACATGTGCAACAATTTAATTTAAATTTAGGCATAACTAAGTGCCGAGTTTATTATTTATTATTTATTTAGAACTTTTATATACCAGTCTTCTCGACCTCCGCAGAGGGACTCAGGCCGGTTCACAACAAATTATTCATAACAATAGTTTAAAATCACACCACATAATGCACTAATACATAAAATACATTAAAATACAATCAAGTAATTACACAAGGCCAAGTCATCAGAATGAAATCACAATTCATCACCATCTATCCGTGTGGTCAAGAGTTATTGACTCACTAATCGAATGCTAAATTCCAGAGCCAAGTTTTCACCAGCTTTCTAAAGGTCAGGAGAGAAGGGGCAGTTCTAATCTCCAGTGGGAGAGAGTTCCAGAGCCAAGGGGCCACCACCGAGAAGGCCCTGTCCCTCATCCCCACCAGACGCGATTGCGAGGGTGGTGGGACCGAGAGCAGGGTCCCTCCAGAAGATCTTAATAACCTTGATGGTTCATAGGGGAAAATCCGTTCGGACAGGTAAATTGGGCCAGAGTCGTTTAGGGCTTTATAGGTCAGGACCAGCACTTTGAATTGTGCTCGGAAACTGATTGGCAGCCAGTGGAGCTGACACAACAGAGGAATAGTATGCTCCCTGTACCACGCTCCTGTAGTAGACTGGCTGCTGCTCATTGGACTAGTTGTAACTTCTGGGCAGTCTTCAAAGGCAACCCCACATATAGAGTGTTGTAGTAGTCTATATGGGATGTAACCAGAGCGTGGACCACCATGGCCAGATCAGACTTTCCAAGGTACGGGCGCAGCTGGCGCACAAGTTTTAATTGTGCAAAAGCTCCCCTGACCACTGCCGAGACCTGGGGTTCCAGGCTCAGCGATGAGTCCAGGATCACTCCCAAGCTGCGAACCTGCGCCTTCAGGGGGAGTGTAACCCCATCAAGCACAGGCTGTAACCCTATGCCCTGTTCGGCCTTTCGACTGACCAGCAATTTAATTTTGAATGATCGGATAATATGACTGAGGTGTCCCATGAATGAAAGCAAATCCTTCAGTATACATAATACTACAAAGTACACTTCTCCCTACATAAATTCACACAATCCTGGGAATGAAGCCAGAAGGAAAGACAACACAAGCACAGCATTTATTACAAAATCAGAGAAAAGGGATTTTCCAATTAGAATAATTTACCCCACATGAATAGCACAATGGTCCCCATACAAAACACTCTGCTGTATTTTACATATCCTGCCCACTTCTTGGTAAACATGAACATTAAAAGGAAAGTGAGCATGAATGGGCCTTCTTGTTTCACACTGAGGACAAGCAGCAAAACAAGAAAAACACCTATATTTGCAAGTACAGTCAAGTCTTGCTTATCCAACCCTTGCTCATCCAATGTTCTGTATTATTGGATAGTGGTCCACGCTCTGGTTACATCCCGAATAGACTACTGCAATGCTCTCTACGTGGGGCTGCCTTTGAAAACTTCTCGGAAGCTCCAATTAGTCCAGCGGTGGGCGGCCAGGGTGTTAACTGGAGGTGTGTACAGGGAGTGTACCAATCCTCTGTTGCGCCAGCTCCACTGGCTGCCGATTAGCTTCTGGGCACAATTCAAAGTGCTGGTTTTAACCTTTAAAGTCCTGAACGGTTCTGGCCCACATTACCTGTCCAAACATATCTCCTGCTATGAACCATCACGAAGCTTAAGATCATCAAGAGAGGCCCTGCTCTCGATCCCACCACTCTCGCAAATGCGGTTGGTGGGGACGAGAGACAGGGCCTTCTCGGCAGTGGCCCCCCGTCTGTGGAACTCTCCCTAAGGATATCAGGTTGACCACTGAAGACAACTGAAGACCTGGCTCTGGGTTCACTTAGAGGCCAGCGGCAATACGAAAAGGAAATTTGGATTTTGCGATACGGATTCTCCCAGCTCAGCTTAGTTTTACTGGCACGTTAATCTATTAATTTATTGTTAAATTTTACGGATGATGTAGTATAATGTTTTAAAATGATTTTATTGTAAATTGTAATTTTTATTGTAATTATGCTGTTAGGATCCTCTGATGCGCATGTGAGGCTGCGCTGAGTCCCCCTTGTGGGGAGAAGGGCGGGATATAAATATATGAAATAAAATATTATGCAATGCAGGATCCTCACAGCTGTTTCAATACATTGCAATGGTTTGCTGCTAAATTTGTAAAGACAGCAATAACTGCATCATGTTACCGTGTATTGAATTGCTTTTTCTGTCGATTTGTTTTAAAGCATGATGTTTTGGTGCTTAATTTGTAAAATCATAACGTCATTTGACATTTAATAGGCTTTCCCTTAATCCCTCCTTATTATCCAACATTTTTGCTTATCCAACGCTGACCTGTTCATGTTGGATAAATGAGACTGCTGTAATGTTAGAAAAAATATCTCAAGGATTTATTTATTTTTTGGTCATGTCAGGAGTGACTTGAGAAACTCCAAGTCGCTTCAGGTGTGAGAGAATTGGCCGTCTGCAAGGACGTTGCCCAGGGGACACCCAGATGTTTTGATGTTTTATCATCCTTGTGGGAGGCTTCTCTCATGTCCCTGCATGAGGAGCTGGAGCTGATAGAGGGAGCTCATCCGCGCTCTCACTGGATTCGAACCTGTGACCTGTCGGTCTTCAGTTCTGCTGGCACAGGGGTTTAACCCACTGTGCCACCGGGGGGCTCCTGTCTCCAGGATTATTTATATTCAATAATTCAATGTCACCTACAAAACTATTTTAAAAAATGAAACAAATGATTTTGAAAAGTTTACAAACAGAATCTACTGCAAAAGCCTCAGAGAAAGAAATGCTTTTAGTGTAAGCCACTTTGAGTCTCCTTGTGGAGAGAAAAAGGAGGGGAAAAATAAACATAATAACAATAAACATAATAATAAACTTCCTAGACACCTGGGAAGTGGCCAGCATGTGATCAAATACAAAAGCCAGCATAGTGAACTTGTTTCCTTTGTACTAATCTTGTTATGTATCAAATAATAATAATAATAATAATAATAATAATAATAATATAACCAAGATATCAGAGTTTAAAGTTTTCTTTCCAAAGTTTCATATTCTAAAAAGAAACTGTGGGCCCTTCTACAGTGCCATATAAAATCCAAATTATCTGCTTTGAACTGGATTATATGGCAGTGTGGACTCATATAACCCAGTTCAAAGCACATAATGTGGATTATAGGCTTTGATAATCTGGATTCTATGGCACTGCAGAAGAGGCCTGTTACAAATGTATACAAATTGAAGTATGACCTGCAAGTGGCAAACCAGGCCCCTATTAAATAAGTATATCCTTAAGGCTTCCTTTCGAGGTTTAAAGTCTGTTATGGAGCAGATTCAACACGCTAACTCCTAAGGATTCACAACAGGACAGAGGTCTATGGGCGCAAAAGCCCTTCTTCTTCTGCTCCGCTTCCATTGCTCAAAGTGGGAATGAGAGGGGGGCAGCCTTCAAGGGGAAAGCGTTTCAATGCAGCCTTTCAGACTGGCACAACCTCCCCTTCTGACCTGATCTGTGTGTGCAAAGGGGGGCTCAACTTCCCAAACCAGCCTCTGATGCTTGAAGATGGCAGAGTAATGGAGAAGACATGAGATTGGGACTGAAGGTGATCTGCAAAGGTGAGATGCAATAACGAGCAGTGGTGCAATTCAGACACTTTCTCTGCACCCTTTCAAGCCAGCTTACCAGTCTGGTCTCTGGCCACCAGTCCTGTAGAAGGGTCGCATGGCGTCGGGGAGGTGCGGCTGAGCCTCTTGGCTGCATCCAGGCTGTTGCAATATTCCCACCGCTTCTGCTGGAGTTCCTGCAGCCAGTACGTCATGTCCTGGTGCGTGGCTGCCTGCAACGGAGGAGAAAAAAAGCACTCTGAGTATATTGCAAGGGGAGAGGAAGACTTCCAGAAAGACTTGGGTAATTGTTAGAACCGGGGGGCATCGGGCCCAGCTTCTCCCCAACACAAGATCCTCAAATTAGTTGCACAACTTCTCTTGAAATATCTTCAGCAAAGGTAAACCCATCTCGATGGCACTTACACATTAAAAGTTGCCTTTACAAAAAAGGGCAAGGGATCCACATGCCAAATAAAGACATTTCCTGAAGCGACAAAAACACAATGACAACAGGAAATAATTTCTAGCTCACGTTGCAGCTGACTAATTTGTCTTCCTTTCACAACAAAGAAGGTCAAGGCCAATCAACGCCCTCCAACCACAGGAGTCTGAGGTAGAAAACAAAGGCTGAAGGTGAGCTTCCCGAGGCAGGCATTTACTCTAGGAAAAGCAGATATTCTGATTGGGAAGAGACCGCATGTTCCTGGTAGTTTTGGAAACAGACTGGAGCGGGGAAACCCACAACTTAAGAGGAAACCGGTTGTTAAACGGTTGCATTGCACCATGCCTGACTAATGGCACAATCTGGTGTACAGTTACTCAGAAGTCCTGGTGGTGCCTCATTCTCAAATATGTCGAGGCAGAGCACCTTAAGGAAGTGGTTCTTAACCTTGCTAATGTCGTGATCCCTTAATGCAGTTCCATATGTTGTGGTGACCCCCAACCATAATATTGTTTTCGTTGCTACTTGATACCTCTCATTTTACTAAATTGAGCACAAATATCCAATATGCCCTAATGTGAATGCCAGTGGGGTTGGGGCGGGGGGGGGGGAGGATTGATTTTGTAATTTGGGAGTTGAAGTTGCTGGGATTTATAGTTTATCTATAATCAAAGAGCATTCTGAACTCCACCAGCGATGGATTTAAACCGAACTTGGCACACAGAACTACCATGACCAACAGAAAACACTGGAAGGGTTTTGTAGGCATTGACCTTGAGTTTGGGAGTTGCAGTTTATCTATATCCAGAGGAGTGCTGTGGATTCATGCAATGATGGATCTGGACCAAAATTTGGTACGAATACTCAATATGCCCAAATTGGTGGAGTCTGGGGAAAATAGGCCTTGACATTTGGGAATTGTAGTTGTTGGGATTTACAGTCCACCTACAATCAAAGAGCATTCTGAACTCGACCAACAATAGAATTGGGTCAAACTTCCCACACAGAATCCCAATGACCAACAGAAAATACTATGTTTTCTGATGGTCTTTGGCGAGCCCTTTGACACCCTCTCACGACCCCCTCAGGGTTCCCGACCCCCAGGTTGAGAAACACTGCCTTAACGGGACATAAACAGATGGGGTCTCCACTGACACTTCCTCCCCAACCTTGTTTCCACAATAAGCCACATTTTCCAAAATCCAATTCTCACAGGGACAGAAAGTGAGCGCAGGTGGCAAAGGAAACACCACAGGGGAGCTCACTCTTCCCTATGCTATCCAAAGCTAAAAGATGTAGATATATATTACTGGAATGATACTTAAGGAATATATCTGTTCCAGCTTACATGCAAATTCAGCTTAATAACTTAAGCTACAGAACATATCTTGTTCATAATTTGGGGATTGCCTGTACATGAAACTGTGGACAAGTAAACAGTATGTGGTCATACCACACACAGCAGAAGATCAAGACAAACTAAAAACACATCATACCATAAGAGAAAAGATCAAGAAATACAACCTTATCTGACATAGATTTGTCTGTGACATAGATTTTCAACCCAAGTCCTGCTTGCTGGTGGAAGGAGAACAATATCTTTTTTCCAAACACAATCAAAGCAAATTTTCAGCCAAGAACTAAAGTTTGGGTTACTTTCTGCAAGGAAAGATCGCCTCAGCTTCTCACTGAAAACTAGTGAGACATCACTCACACAAAACGATGTATCTTTAAATGCTCCTTGCTCATCTCTGGCAGCTCCTATGTACTACAGCAGTGTTTCTCAACCTGGGGGTCGGGACCCCTGGGGGGGTCGCGAGGGGTGTCAGAGGGGTAACCAAAGACCACCAGAAAACACAGTGTTTCTGTTGGTCATGGAGGTTCTGTGTGGGAAGTTTGGCCCAATTCAATCGTTGGTAGGGTTCAGAATGCTCTTTGATTGTAGGTGAACTATAAATCCTAGCAACTACAACTCCCAAATGTCAAGGTCTATTTCCCCCCAAACTCCACTAGTGTTTACGTTTGGGCATATTGAGAATTTGTGCCAAGTTTGGTCCAGATCCATCATTGTTTGAGTCCACCGTGCTCTTTGGATGTAGGTGAACTACAACTCCCCAAACTCACGATCAATGCCCACCAAACCCTTCCAGTATTTTCTGTTGATCATGGGGGTTCTGTGTGCCAGTTTGATTCAATTCCATTGTTGGTGGAGTTCAGAATGCGCTTTGATTGTAGGTGAACTATATATCCCAGCAACTACAACTCCCACAGGACAAAATCAATACCCTCCCCCAATCCCACCAGTATTCAAATTTGGGTGTATTGGGTATTTGTGCCAAATTTGGTCCAGCGTATCAAAATACATCCTGCATATCAGATATTTACATTAATATTCATAACAGCAGCAAAATGACAGTTATGAAGTAGCAATGAACTAATTTTATGGTTGGGTGTCACCATAACATGAGGAAGCGTATTAAGGGGTCGTGGCATTAGGAAGGTTGAGAACCACTGTACTACAGAATAATAAATGAGAGAACATCCCATGATGCAGGCTTAAAGCTATGAATAAGCTTTAGGAAAATTAAAGCATGTGAGTTAGAGAAAGCTGGAACAAAGGTGGGATTGTTTTATTCCTGTAGGATGCCCCCGTCTAGCCATTATAGGATTTTGTTTCCTTATAGAACTGGATGCAGGTCAGAAACCATAAGGAAGGCATGGGTAAACTTTGACCCTCCTCCAGGTGTTTTTGACTTCAATTCCTAACAGCCCATCGACTGTTCAATTCCCACAATTCCTAACAGCCTGGTTTAAGCACAGAGTCTGATCGAAACACCTGCCAACAGGCCTCCTCTGAAAGGAACTGCCTCCCGCAACCAGGACTCATTGGTGGTCCCTCATCCATGACAGACTCTGGTTGGCTTCCAAGGACAAGTCCAACGATGTGGTGCCTTCGGGGCCTTTTGGTCAATGACTCTGGCTAAGCAGGCTTCTAACAGTGGCCGCAATCTAACACCAGGTGTCTTCTCTGGAAGTGGGCCCCACAAGGCAGGAAGGAAGAGGCAGGCTTCCTTCTCAGCAGTTGTGCAATTGCACCTTGCAAAACTTGCATACATTCTCTGCTGCTTGACTGAAAAGCCAAGCAGCAACTGGATCAGAGCAAAAGGTTGTCTAGTGGAGTGCTGCAGAGTTCAGTCCTGGGACTCAACATCTTTATTAATGACTTGGATGAAGGTTTAGAGCAGAGGTCCTCAAACTTTTTAAACAGAGGGCCAGGTCACAGTCCCTCAAACTGTTGGAGAGCCAGATTATAATTTGAAAAATACATGAATGAATTCCTATGCACACTGCACATATCTTAGTTGTTGTGCAAAGAACACTTAAAAATAATACAATAATTAAAATGAAGAATAGTTTTAACAAATATACGCTTATTTGTATTTCAATGGGAAGTGTGGGCCTGCTTTTGGCTGATGAGTTAGCATTGTTGTTGTTGTTGTTGTTGTGTATTTTCAAGTTGTCTCAGACTTAGGTTGACCCTGAGCTAGGGCCAGGTAAATGACCCCTGGGCCTTAGTTTGAGGACCCCTGGTTTAGAGGACCTGCTGATCAAGTGTGCAGATGGGACCAAATTGGGAGGGAGAGGCCAGGACCAGGATTCAAAATGACCTTAACTGATGAGAGCGCCAATTGGCCAAAACTAACAAAATGGATTTCAACAAGGACAATAAGATACAGGATAATAATAGTAATAATAATAATAATAATAATAATAACTTTAGGTGAACTACAAATCTCTGCAACTACAACTTCCAAATGTCAAGATTCTATTTTCCCCAAACTCCACCAGTGTTCACATTTGGGCATATTGAGTATCTGTGTGGAGTTTGGTTTAGATCCACCATTGTTTGTGTCCACAGTGCTCTCTGGATGTAGGTGAACTACAACTCCAAAACCAAAGGACACTACCCACCAAACCCTTCCAGTATTTTATGTTGGACATGGGAGAACTGTGTGCCAAGTTTGGTTCAGTTTGATTGTAGGTGAACTAAAAAAATTGCAGCAACTACAACTCCCAAATGACAAAATCATTTTTTTTTTTGAGTGAAGGACATACATTGTGGTGTTAGGTGTCTTGTGTCCAAATTTGGTGTCAATTCGTCCAGTGGTTTTTGAGTTCTGTTAATCCCACAAACGAACATTACATTTTTATTTATATAAATAAGAAGATGTATTGTATAAATCTGTGTCCTGGCATTGAATGTTTGCCGTGTATATGCTGTGCTCCGCCCGGAGTCCCCTTCGGAGTGAGAAGGGTGGAATATAAATGTTTCAAATAAATCTTAAATCTATATAAATAAAAATGTAATGTTCGTTTGTGGGATTAACATAACTCAAAAACCACTGGATGAATTGACACCAAATTTGGACACAAGACACCTAACAACCCAGTGTATGTCCTTTGCTAAAAAAAAATGATTTTGTCATTTGAGAGTTGTAGTTGCTGGGATTTGGAGCTGACCTACAATCAAAGAGCATTCTGAATCCCACCAACGATTGAATTGAACCAAACTTGGCACACAGTTCTCCCATGATCAACAGAAAATACTGGAAGGATTTGGTGGGCAGTGTCCTTTGGTTTTGGAGTTGTAGTTCACCTACATCCAGAGATCACTGTGCAGATCACTCAAACAATGGTGGATCTGGATCAAACTCCACACGAATACTCAATATGTCCAAATGTGAACATTGTGAACATTGGCAGAGTTTCTGGAAAATAGAATCTTGACATTTGGGAGTTGTGTTGCTGGGATTTGTAGTTCACCTACAATCACAGAGCATTCTGAACCCCACCAATGATAGAATTGGGACAAACCTCCCACACAGAACCCCCAGTAATGATCAGAAAGCACTCCTTAACATCATAGAGTATTACGAAAAAAACCACCAAAAGGAAGTAGGTCTGCTTTTTCTCGATGCGGAGAAAGCTTTTGACCACACGAACTGGGACTTCCTACTACTCTTGTTGAGGGAAATGGATATAGGCTACCCTATAATGAATGTGGTAAAGACAATGTACTCCAAACAAACAGCAAATGTACTAATCAATGGCCTGCGAACAGAGGAAGTGGAAATACAAAGAGGGGTAAGGCAAGGGTGCCCTCTCTCCCCTCTTTTGTTTATTTTGGTGTTGGAAGTTTTATTGGAGGACTTAAGAAAGGATAAAGAGCTAAGAGGCCTCAAAATAAGATCAGAAGAATACAAAACCTTAGCGTTCGCAGATGATGTGGTCTGCATTATGGAGTCTCCATTAGAAACTATTGAAAAATGGATATCTAAAATTGAAAAATTTGGTGTACTAGCAGGATTTAAGATAAACAAAAATAAAACAAAAATTCTTACTAAAAATGTTAAGGCAGAAAGAAAGGTAAAGATTGTTTCGAAGTCTGGAATTGAAGTGGTCAATAAAATTAAATATCTAGGCATAGTAATTTCGGCTTCAAATATGAATCTGTTTAAGGATAACTATGAAAAAACCTGGAGTAATATAATAAAGAAATTCAACAACTGGAAATATTTAAATCTATCTATACTAGGAAAGATCGCAGCCATAAAATTGAGTGTATTACCCAAGATGATTTTCATGTTCCAGATGACACCAATTATTAAGACAAATACATGTTTCCAAAAATGGAACAAACAAATATTAAATTTTATATGGGAGGGGAAAAAAGCCAGAATTAAGATTAAAAATCTCACAGATGCCAAAAGTCGGGGAGGATTGGCCATGCCGGACATGCAGCTGTATTTTGAAGCCTGTGCCCTATCATGGGTGAAAATATGGGCTACCCTGGAGCAAAAAAAAATATTAACTATAGAAGGTTATGACATTAGAAGAGGGTGGCACGCTTACCTAAGCTATGGAAAGGCAAGGATAGAAAAAAACTTTACTAATCATTACATCAGAGGCCCCCTACTAAAGACCTGGAACAAGTATAAAGACATCATTTACCCCAGAATACCCATGTGGACATCGCCAATAGAGGCATATCATAAAAGAGAGTTACCGAAAAGTAGATGGCTTAATTACAGGCAACTATTGGTTAAAATCAACAATGAATGGCACCTGAGGTCTATGGAAGAATTAAAGAGGGAAGATAAAGAACTAAATTGGCTACAATATATACAAATTAAAGAAACTTTAAAGGAAGATCTAAAAGTGGGATTTAGCGAAAAGGACACGTGTTGGGATATAATTATGAAAAAGGATAAGAAGCTGGTTAGAATCTTGTATCGAAACCTGTTAGAGTGGAATACTGAAACGGAAATAGTAAAAGAAAATATGGTCAAGTGGGCCAGGGATATAGGCCACTCTATACTAATAAGCGAATGGGAACAAGTATGGAAGGTCAAGCTTAAATACACTAGAGCCAGCAGCATAGTAGAGAACTGGCACAAAGTTTTCTATAGATGGCATTTGACACCTGTACAATTGGCGAAATTTAGTAAAAATAACAATACGCAGTGCTGGAAGTGCGGAAAGGAAGCTGGAACCTATTTCCATTTGTATTGGAATTGCAAGAAGATTAAAAAATTTTGGACGATGGTTCATTTACATACACAAAACATTATTAAAACAAAGTTTGAGCTCAAACCTGAATATTATTTATTGAACATAACAGATTTAGGTCTGAAGAAAAATGAAGAAAAAATTTTGTTTTATTTATCGTCGGCAGCCAAAATATTGATAGCCCAGAAATGGAAAAGTAAAGAGATTCCAACTAATGAAGATTGGATAAAGAAAATAACAGATTTCAGAATTTGTGACAGATTATCGAGTCAAATAGAAGAACTCAGTAACAAATAAGCTGGAAGGACATGGAAGAATATTTGAAAAGCAAATTCAAACTGGACACTTAAAAGTCGATGGGTAAGAAGAGCAAGGACAGCAAGGAACAGGAAAAAGGAACAATACAACGAGATAATCACTCCTTTGCGGACTGAACGGAAGTGATGCACACATTCGTCTGACCCCCATCCCATTCTCCACCCATTCCTACCTCCCCTTTATCCCTTCTATTCTACTTCTATTCTACCTCCCTACCTCTCTTACCCCGCCTACCCTTTATTTTATCCCCCACGGTCTGTCTAAACTTCACAACTTTCTATCACAATAATTGTTCTCCCTCTTTCACTGTAAAAGAAAATGGTATAAAAATTAATTACAAAAAAAAAAAGAAAGCACTTGAGGATCTTGGCCATAATATGGCCAAGGCGAGGTCTCATTCCCTTCAAGTAACGACGAAGAATAGTAACTGGGCAGAATCGAGACAGGGCGTTTTCTGTGGTGGCCCCCCGACTCTGGAACGCCCTCCCAAGAGATCTTAGACAGGCCCCTACATTGGCAGTCTTCAGAAAGAACTTGAAGACCTGGCTGTTCCGATGTGCCTTCCCAGATTAGGAATCTCCAATACCAAGTCCTAGAAGCACTTTAGTAGAACTAAGATTGCTGCACACCGCACACTGCACTTACTTTATAATCCTACATACCTCCTGCCACATCAGCACTTTTAATCTTGTACCCATTACTCTGGCCCGGCCCAGTTTTATAGTGTCTTGATGTATTGTTTATTGTTTGTTGTTTATACTGCTTAACTGTTTTTAATTTGCTTTAGGTGTTGTATTGTTGTATTGTGTTTTGAGGCCTTGGCCTATGTAAGCCGCATCGAGTCCTTCGGGAGATGCTAGCAGGGTACAAATAAAGTTATAATAATAATAATAATCACTTGCTGATTGTAGTTTTATTTATTTACTAGCCATCCCCTGCCACACGTTGCTGTGGCCCACATTTATTTATTTATTTATTTACTGTGCTTATATACCGCTGTTCTCAGCCCAGGGGCGACTCGAAGTGGTAGGATCCTTAGGGGCAAGTGACCATGTGCTCCTGCAATTTGAGGTACAAAGGAAGGCCGAAACTAAGACAAGTCAAACCCGCATTTTGGACTTTAGGAGAGCTGACTTCCAAAAAATGAAGGAAACGCTGAGCAGCATTCCGTGGACACAGATACTAAAAGACAAGGGAGTTACGGATGGATGGGAATTTCTCAAGAGTGAAATACTCAAGGCACAATTGCAAACTGTGCCAACAAAGAGAAAAAATAGGACAAGTGCAAAGAAGCCAGAATGGATGTCCAAAGAACTTCTAACTGTGCTAAGACACAAAAGAGACATGCACAAGAAGTGGAAAAAGGGAGAAATCACCAAAGAAGAATTCAAACAAATAGCCAACACCTGTAGGGAAAGGTCCGCAAGGCTAAAGCACAAAACGAGCTCAGGCTTGCCAGGGACATTAAAAACAATAAAAAGGGCTTCTATTCTTATGTCAGTAGAAAAAGGAAAAACAAGGAGGCGATAGGAGCTCTTCGAGGAGAAGATGGGGCAATGCTGACAGGGGATAGGGAAAAGGCAGAACTACTTAATGCCTTCTTTGCCTCGGTCTTCTCACAAAAAGAGAGTCTTCAACCTCAGCAAGATGGAGTGGATGAGGGATTGGAGGACATCCAACACTAAATTGGGAGAGAAGTCGTCCAGGAATACCTGGCCGCTCTTAATGAGTTCAAGTCCCTAGGGCCAGATCAACTACACCCCAGAGTATTGAAGGAACTAGCGGAAGTCATTTCGGAACCATTGGCAACCATCTTTGAGAGTTCTTGGAGAACGGGAGAAGTTCCAGCAGATTGGAGGAGGGCCAATGTGGTCCCAATCTTCAAGAAGGGAAAAAAGGATGACCCAAACAACTACCGTCCGGTCAGCCTCACGTCGATACTGGGCAAGATTCTGGAAAAGATTGTTAAGGAAGCGGTCTGCAAACACTTAGAAACAAATGCAGTCATCGCTAATAGTCAACATGGATTTATCAAAAACAAGTCATGCCAGACTAATCTGATCTCTTTCTTCGATAGAGCTACAAGCTGGGTAGATGCGGGGAATGCCGTGGATGTAGCGTACCTGGATTTCAGTAAGGCCTTCGACAAGGTCCCCCATGACCTTCTGGCAAGGAAACTAGTCCAATGTGGGCTAGGCAAAACTACGGTGAGGTGGATCTGTAATTGGTTAAGTGGACGAACACAGAGAGTGCTCACTAATGCTTCCTCTTCATCTTAGAAAGAAGTGACGAGTGGAGTGCCGCAGGGTTCCGTCCTGGGCCCGGTCCTGTTCAACATCTTTATTAATGACTTAGATGAAGGGCTAGAAGGCAGGATCATCAAGTTTGCAGACGACACCAAATTGGGAGGGAGAGCCAATACTCCAGAGGACAGGAGCAGGATTCAAAACGATTTTGACAGATTAGAGAGATGATTGGCCAAAACTAACAAAATGAAGTTCAACAGTGACAAATGCATGCTACTCCACTTTGGCAGAAAAAATGAAGATCTCTTGGGAGGGCGTTCCACAGCCGGGGGGCCACCACAGAAAAGGCCCTGTCTCGATTCTGCCCAGTTACTATTCTTCGTCGTTACTTGAAGGGAATGAGACCTCGCCTTGGCCATATGATGGCCAAGATCCTCAAGTGCTTTCTGGTCATTACTTCCAGGGGAAGGTGCGGCCTTGGAGGGGAAGAGGCCCCATCCCTCCTCCGGCCTTGCCCACAGGCCTCTCCCTGGCCTACCTTGAGGACGGCGACTCCCCCGCCGGGCGCGTGCACCTCGAAGGCGGTGGGCCCGGCCTGCTCCTCTCGCTCCTCCTGCTCGCCCTCGCCCTCCGTCTCCTCCTCCCCGCGCTCCCCGTCCTGTTCTGGCGGGGCGGCGATGGCGAAGGCGGCGCGAGCCACGTCGAGGCTGGCGAGGGGCGGGCGGGCCTGGGCCTCGTCTCGGGGGCTGCGGAAGGCCAGGAGGGCGCAGCGGCGCGGCTCGAAGGCCCACCACCGGCTCCGGAAGCCCCGCCGCCGCCCCCGGCCTTCCAGGTGGCCCAGGTAGCCGCAGAGGCGCCGCCCGCCCTCCTCCCGCTCCGCCGCCGAAGGCATCCCGGATAATCGCCTCAGCGCCCCGGGACTACGATTCCCGGCATTCCCGCTGAGACTGAGGCTTCTGGGAGGGCAAGCCCAGTATTACTCTGGAAGCCTGAGGTAAAAGGAGGACAAGGCCACGCCTGCTTCCCTTCAAACTCCATTTCCCAGCATCCTCCGCCGTTCGCTGCCTCTGCCGAGGCTTCTGGGAAGTGAAGTCCAGTATTACTCTGAGGTAAAAGGAGGATAAGGCCACGCCTGCTTCCCTTCAAACTCCATTTCCCAGCATCCTCCGCCGTTCGCTGCCTTTGCCGAGGCTTCTGGGAGGTGAAGTCCAAAGCTCCAGGCCAAGGCCCCGCCCACTCCTGCCTCTCCCGCCTCAGCAAATGCTACCCATTCTCTATTCTGCTTTGGTTAGAATAGTGTGTCCAATTCTGGGCACCACAATTGAAGAGAGATGTTGACAACCTGCAATGTGTCCAGAGGAGGGCGACTCAAATGTCCAAGGGTCTGGAGAACAAGCCCTTTAAGGAGCGGCTTAAGGAGCTGGGCATGTTTAGCCTGAGGAAGAGAAGGCTGACAGGAGACATGATAGCCATGAATAAATATGAGAAGGGAATATGTCATAGGGAGGGTGACTAAATGATCCAGGGTCTGGAGAACAAGCCCTATGAGGAGCGGCTTAAGGAGCTGGGCATGTTTAGCCTGAAGAAGAGAAGGCTGACAGGAGATATGATAGCCATGTATAAATATATAGAGGAAGCCACAGAGAGGAGGGAGCAAGCTTGTTTACTGCTTCCTTGGAGACGCGGAACAATGGCTTCAAACTACAAGAGAGGAGATTCCATCTGAACATGAGGAAGAACTTCCTGACTGTGAGAGCCGTTCAGCAGTGGAACTCTCTGCCCCAGAGTGTGGTGGAGGCTCCTTCTTTGGAAGCTTTTAAACAGAGGCTGGATGGCGATCTATCAAGGGTGATTTGAATGCAATATTCCTGCTTCTTGGCAGGGGTTGGACTGGATGGCCCATGAGGTCTCTTCCAACTCTGATTCTATGAAAGGCGGCTGAAGGGCTGCGCGTTCTCGGATTCTCGGCCTTTGGAGTCCTTGGTGGCGCAGTGGGTTAAACCCCTGTGCCCGCAGGACTGAAGACCCGACGGGGGTGTCTCTCATTTGGTATCAGCCATGGATTGAGGTTCTGGGTTTGGAGTTTGAGCCTGCCACTTTTGGACTCTCGCTTGCTGAGGTGTTCCAGTGAGTGTCTCTGTAGATCTTAGAAAACTATTTCTTGATTTAAGTCGTTGACGTGCTGGCTGATACCCAAACAAGGGATGAGCTGGAGATGTCTCTGCCTTGGTCCTTTCATTATTGGCTGCTACTTCCCGGCGGATGTCAGGTGGTGCAATACCGGCTAAACGGTGTAATTTCTCCAGTGGTGTGGGGCACAGACACCCCGTGATAATGCGGCATGTCTCATTAAGAGCCACTCATCCACTGTTTTAGTGTGGTGAGATGTGTTCCACACTGGGCATGCGTACTCAGCAGCAGAGTAGCATAGCGCAAGGGCAGATGTCTTCACTGTGTCTGGTTGTGATCCCCAGGTTGTGCCAGTCAGCTTTCGTATGATATTGTTTCTAGCGCCCACTTTTTGCTTGATGTTAAGGCAGTGCTTCTTGTAGGTCAGAGCACGGTCCAGAGTGACTCCCAGGTATTTGGGTGCGCTGCAATGCTCCAGTGGGATTCCTTCCCAGGATCCTCAGAGCTCAGGATGCTTGTCTGTTCTTGAGATGAAAGGCACATGTCTGTGTTTTAGATGGATTAGGGATCAGCTGGTTTTCCCTGTAATAGGCAGTAAGAGCACCTAGAGCTTCGGAGAGCTTCTGTTCTACCGTCTCAAAGCTCCCTGCTTGAGCGGTGATGGCACGATCATCAGCATAGATGAAGCTCTCTGTCCCTTATGGCAGTGGCTGGTCATTTGTGTAGATGTTGAACATGGATGGAGCAAGCACGCTCCCCTGAGGCAGGCCGTTCTTCTGTTTCCGCCATCTGCTTCTCTGGCCCTGGAACTCAACAAAAAAGCTCTGTTTTGTAGCAGGTTTCCTATGAGGCGGGTGAGGTGGTAGTCCTTTGTGATATTATACATTTTTCTCAGGAGGAGGTGGTGGTTCACAGTATCATAAGCCACTGACAGGTCTATGAAGACACCTCCTGTGATCTGCTGCCTTTCAAAGCCATCTTCTATGTGCTGAGTCAGGTTCAGCACTTGCGATGTGCAGCTTTTGCCTTTCCTGAAGCCATGTGGGATCAGACAGGGGTCTATATATTCCATAATTCTATGCAAAATAAGTCTCTCCAGAACTTTGTAGAGGTGGCACAACAGGGAGATTGGTCTGTAGCTTTTTGGGTCGTTACGGTCTTTGCCTGGCTTCAAGATGGCGATGACTTGCTTTCCTCCAGATTTTGGGGATCTGACAGGATGCCGTGCAGTTGTTCATCAGCTCCAGCAGCCAGCGCCTTGCTTTTGGGCCAAGGTTTTTTGATTTGTTCCATCCGTAGATCATCCAGGCCAGTGGCTTTGCCATTTTTACATTTATACAATAAACAGTAATACACAAGCATTTAAAAACCTATGGCCGGGCCAAATGTAATAGTTAAAATTTATAAAATAATGCTGGGTATGAACAAGGTAGGATATAGCTGATATAGGGTTTTCAAAGAGAGACGAGGGAACGCAGTCAGTCCTAAATCAGTGGTAAAGTGCATTTTGAGGGCATATTGCTGAGACTTTTCCTTATTTTGGGAAGGCACACTGGAACAACCACGTTTTCAGGCTCCTCCTAAAGACTGCCAGAGTTGGGGCATGCCTGATGTCCTTGGGGAGTGAGTTCCAGAGTCGAGGGGCCGCCACCAAGAAGGCCCTCTTCCCATCTGCGAAGGAGGTGGGAGTGCGAGCAGGGCCTCTCCAGATGATCGAAGAGATCGTGTGGGTTCGTACACAGAAATGCGGTCACGCAGGTAGGCGGGTTCCAAACCGTTCAGGGCTTTGTAGGTAAGAACCTGCACCTTGAATTGGGACCGGAAAATGAACGGCAGCCAGTGGAGCTCCTTAAACAGGAGGGTTGACCTCTCTCTGTAAGAAGCACAGGTTAGTAACCTGGCTGCCGCCCATTGTACCAATTGAAATTTCTGGGCGGTTTTCAAGGGTAGCCCCACATAGAGTGCATTACAGTAATCCAATCTGGAGGTGACTAAGGCATGGACCACCCTGACCAGATCCGACTTCACGAGGTACAGTCGCAGCTGGCACATGAGTCTTAATTGTGCAAAGGCCCTTCCGGCCACCACCGACGCCTGAGCTTCAAGCGTAAGTGATGAGTCCAGGAGGACACCCAGACTGCAAACCTGTGACTTCAGGGAGAGTGCAAGCCGGTCCAGCACGGGTTACCACCCTATACCCCGATCTGGCTTACGATCCGGCTTGCAGTTTCTCAAGTCTCTCCTGACACGACAAAAAAAAAGTTTTGGCCAAAGCATCCGAGGCACCTGGGAGTTGAAGTCCAAACTTCATGCGAGGGACCCGATATCGCCTCTCCATGCCCAGGTTCCATGTGAGGGAATGATGAGTCTTGTGGTTTCTTCCAGGGCCTCTTGCCTTCTCTGCTTTGGTCCCAACAAACTACAACTCCCAGGGTAACCTTAGCAGTTGAAGTGACCTTTAACTGCAGACAGCATATTCCCTCACGCTGTGAATGAGACAAGCACATAGACTCTGTGTGAAAACGCCAAATGTTTTAATTCTGGTTTCAAGGATTTCTTTCAAAATCAGATATTTACAGGAAAACGATGCACATTGTTTATTCCCCCCTCCTCCCCCCTTTGCCCGGTTTTGATTTCCGAGATAAAGAGTCCACATTCAAAAAGTCTTTATGGCTGTAGATTCGCTGGATTAAAACTCGGAACACAACCTGACCCCTCCCGGCAGTTGGCCACCCGGCCCCTTCTTCAAAATCATAATAATAGAATGAGAAGAGCCTCCGAAGACGGAGCCCCACCCCTCCAACCATAAATTATAATCAGAGGCAGCCGTAGGTAATTTTCAACGGTAAGCAAACAGTATTTTGCGCCCCCCCCCCCCCCAACCAATCACTGATATATATTTTCTGTTTGTCGTGGGAGTTCTGTGTGCCATATTTGGTTCAATTCCATCATTGGTGGAGTTCAGAATGCTCTTTGATTGTAGGTGAACTATACATCCCAGTAACTACAACTCGCATATGTCAAGGTCTATTTTCCCCCAAGAGTGCCTCAAGAGCGTCCCTGGGCAAAATCAACTATACTGCAAATGCTTACTTTGCGTAATGGGTTGAGTCGCCCTGATCATCACCATCATCACAAACAGGGCAGCAACTTAATTCTTCCTCCCCACCATCTCCTTGAAGGGACTTGGGGTGGGTTACAGATGGGGCAGAATGTCCAAAAGCAAAAGGAATGCACAACCCAATCCCTCCCGACAGATGGCCACCCGGCCCTTACTTTCAAGCTACAAAGGAGGCGACTCCATCATCACCACCATCATCACAATTACTATTATTTTCAAATACAGGGTGAGGCAATATAACTTCCTTTTTTCAAAACTTAATAAAACTCATTGTATGAATCAGAATTTTTTTTTTATAATGTAGCCGCATACCTAAAGTTTTGTTTTACGTAGTTTTGAAGATCAAATTAGGTAGGTGACGTCCCCCATTCTCCATACACTGAGTAAACCAATTTCTGGCCTTTGTCATGACTCTTGCCAGCATAGCAGGCGTTATGTTGGCAATTTCTACCTCGATGTTGGTCTTCAAACCTTGTAGGGTCCTTGGATGGTTCACATAAACACGGGATTTCAAAAAACCCCATAGAAAAAAATCACAAGGGGCCAAATCTGGAGAGCAGGCCAGCCACTCCAAATCCGCTCGGAAAGTAGGCTTCAATGGGAAAAGCACACTCCTCACTGTTCCAACGCAGGATGGTGACTGAACTGTGTCAGGACAAAACTTTATACTCCTGCCCAGGGGCGGCTCAACCATTACTCAAAGTAAGCCTTTGCAGTATAGTTGATTTTGCCCAGGGGCGCTTTGAGGCACTCTTGGGGGAAAAATAGACCTTGACATAAGTGAGTTGTAGTTACTGGGATGTATAGTTCAGCTACAATCAAAGAGCATTCTGAACTCCACCAATGATGGAATTGAACCAAATATGGCACACAGAACTCCCATGACGAACAGAAAATATATATCAGTGATTGGTTTGGGGAGGGGGGGAAATACTGTTTACCGTTGAAAATTACCTAGGGCCGCCTCTCGAACGAGACCACTAGCACTCTGCTACGTCTTCAACCGACTGGATGGCGCGCATTTTTAAAAAGGAAGTTATGCTGCCTCACGCTGTATAATTCTAGAACCCTCATTGGGAAAAGATCCTGGGGGAAATCCAGTTCCACCTGATTTTTCCATGAAGGAAGACGCAAACAAAACCCTCCCGACAGATGGCCACCCAGCCCCTGCTTCATCATCATCATAATCATAATAGAATTCTAGAGTTGGAAGAGACCACAAAGTGGGCCATCTAGTCCAACCCCCTTCTACCATAATGGATGCCCGACCGCCGTCTCCCAAAGCAGTTGCTCTACTCCGAACTCAAGAACGGGAAACGGAATGTTGGTGGGCAGGAAAAGAGATCACAAGATGGGTTCAAAGCCAACCTTAAAAAATCTGGCATAGACACTGAGAACTGGGAAGCCCTGGCCCTTGAGCGCTCCAGCTGGAGGTCAGCTGTGACCAGCAGTGTTGCAGAATTTGAAGAGGCACGAATGGAGGGCGAAAGAAAGAAACGTGCCAAGAGGAAGGTGCGTCAAGCCAACCCCGACCGGGACCGCCTCCCACCTGGAAACCAATGCCCTCACTGTGGGAGAAGATGCGGGTCAAGAATAGGGCTCCACAGCCACCTACGAACCCACCCCCAGGACACCGAACTTGGAGAACCATCATCCTCGGACTACGAGGGATCACCTAAGTTAGTAAGTAAGTACCATAAAGGAAGACACAACTCGATCCCTCCCAACAGAGGGCCACCCAGCTCTTGCTTAGGAAACTCCAGAGAAGGAGACTCTTAGCATCATCATCATTAATCAAAGATTATTTGTATGATAGAATCCTAGATGGAGAGATTCCCCACCCGATCCCTCCTGAGAGAGAGCCACCCGCCCCTGCTGAAAGACCTCTAGAGAAGATCGGCACGAGCCCCCTCGGACTGGTGGAGATGTGAGACCGGGCTGGCCGGCCTTTCTTGCGCTGTGGAACTCCCTCCTCACCTTCAGAAAGAGCAATGTTTCTCAACCTGGGGGTCGGGAGCCCTGGGGGGGGGGGTCGCGAGGGGGTGTTGGAGGGGTCGCCAAAGACCATCAGGATACACAGTATTTTCTGCTGGTCATGGGAGTTCTGTGTGGGAAGTTTGGCCCAATTCTATCGTTGGTGGGGTTCAGAATGCTCTCTGATTGTAGGTGAACTATAAATCCCAGGTCTATTTTCAAGGTCTATTTTCCCCATACTCCACCAGTGTTCACATTTGGGCATATTGAGTATTCGTGCCAAGTTTAGTCTAGATCTATCATTGTTTGAGTCCACAGTGCTTTCTGGAGATAGGTGAACTACAACTCCCAAGCTCAAGGCCAATGCTCATCTACCTCTTTCATTACTTTTTGCTGGTCATGGGCATTATGTGTGCCAAGTTTGGGTCAGTTCTATCTCTAGTGGAGTTCAGAATGCTCTTTGATTGTAGGTGAACTATAAATCCCAGCAACGACAACTCCCAAGGTCCAGAGAATGAAAATACATCCTGCCTATCAGATATTTACATGTCGATTCATAACAGCAGCAAAATTCCAGTTAAGAAGTAGCAACGAAAATAATTTTAGGGTTGGGGGTCCCCACAACACGAGGAACTGTATTAAGGAGTCGCGGCTTTAGGAAGATTGAGGTTCACTGAGAAAGAGGGTGAAGACGTGGATGTGGGACCAAGCCTTTGAAGAGTGGCTCTCAGTGCAATACGTGACTATGGAAGAGTGCAATTTGCCACCGGAATGGCTCCTGGAATTATGCCTTTGGGTCCAATGGTTTTAATTTGATTGGCTTTTAAGATTGACATGTTTTAATTATTTGGTCTTAAATGTATATGATTGGTTTTTATCTTATGTATGTATATGTGGCATCAAATTGTGCCTTTTTTGTGAGTCCCTTTGGGGTGAGAAATTCGGGATATAAGTGCAGTAGGCAGGTAGGTAGATAGAATCCTATAACCCTAGGAATCCCCAAAGGCCATCCAGTCCAACCCCCTTCAAGGAAATTCAGCCCAACACGGTTCTGCCATAAAAAAGACACAACCCAATCCCTCCTGACAGATAGCCATTCAGCCCCTGCTTAAAAGGCTCTATCGCACATATATATCCTGCTTTCAGACATTTAGAAAGTGGGTTGTTGTAGGTTTTTTCGGGCTATATGGCCATGTTCTAGAGGCATTCTCTCCTGACATTTTGCCTGCATCTATGGCAAGCATCCTCAGAGGTAGTGAGCGAAATGTCAGGAGAGAATGTCTCTAGAACAGTGATTCTCAACTTTCCTAATGCCGCGACCCCTTAATTCAGTTCCTATATGGCCATGATCTAGAGGCATTCTCTCCTGACATTTCGCCTGCATCTATGGCAAGCATCCTCAGGATGCTTGCCATAGATGCAGGTGAAATGTCAGGAGAGAATGCCTCTAGAACACTGATTCTCAACCTTCCTAATGCCGCGACCCCTTAAATCAGTTCCTCAGGTTGTGGTGACCCCCCAAACATAACATTATTTTCGTTGCCATTTCACAACTGATTTTGCTACTGTCATGAATCGTAATGTAAATATCTGATATGCAGATTGTATTTTCATTCACAGGACCAAATTTGGCACAAATACTCAATATGCTCAAATTGGAATACTGGTGGAGTTGGGGAAGGGATTGATTTTGTCATTTGGAATTGTAGTTGCTGGGATTTATAGTTCACCTACAATCAGAGAGCAATTCCACCTGAACATGAGGAAGAACTTCCTGACTGTGAGAGCCGTTCAGCGGTGGAACTCTCTGCCCCGGAGTGTGGTGGAGGCTCCTTCTTTGGAAGCTTTTAAACAGAGGCTGGATGGCCATCTGTCAGGGGTGATTTGAATGCAATATTCCTGCTTCTTGGCAGAATGGGGTTGGACTGGATGGCCCATGAGGTCTCTTCCAACTCTTTGATTCTATGATTCTATGATTCTGAACTCCACCAATGATGGAATTGAAACAAACCTGGCACACACAATTCCCACAACCAAAATACGGGAATTGATTGGTGAACATTGCCCTTGAGTTTTGGAGTTGTAGTTCACCTACATCCAGAGAGCAGTGTGGACTCAAACAATGATAGATCTGGACCAAACTTGGCACGAGTACTCAATATGCCCAAATGTGAACACTGGTCGAATTTGGGGGAAATAGACCTTAACATTTGGGAGTTGTAGTTGATGGGATTTATAGTTCACCTACAATCAAAGAGCATTCTGAACTCCACCAATGATGCAATTGAACCAAACCTGGCACACACAATGCCCACAACCAAAATACAGGGATTGATTGGTGAGCATTGACCTTGAGTTTTGGAGTGGTAGTTCACTTACATCCAGACAACAGTGTGGACTCAAACAATGATAGATCTGGACCAAACTTGGCACGAGTACTCAATATGCCCAAATGTGAACACTGGTCGAATTTGGGGGAAATAGACCTTGACATTTGGGATTTGTAGTTGCTGGGATTTATAGTTCACCTCCAATCAAAGAGCATTATGAACTCCACCAATGATGGAGTTGAACCAAAGGTGACACACAGGACTCCCATGACCAATAGAAAACACTAAAAAGGTTTGGTGGGCATTGACCTTGAGTTTGGGAGTTGTAGTTCACCTACATCCAGACAGCACCGTGGACTCAAACAATGATGGATCTGGACCAAACTTGGCACAAATATTCCATATGCCCAAATATGAACTCAGATGGAGTTTGGGGAAAATAGACCTTGACATTTGGGACTTGTAGTTGCTGGGATTTATAGTTCACCTAAAACCAAAGAGCTTTCTGAACCTGACCAAGGAAAGAATTGGCTCAAACTTCCCACACAGAATCCCCATGACCAACAGAAAATACTCTGTTTCCTGATAGTCTTTGGCGACCCCTTTGACACCCCCTCGCGAACCCCTCAGGGGTCCCGATCCCCAGGTTGAGAAACACTGCTCTAGAACATGGCCATATAGCCCGAAAAAACCTACAGCAACCCAGTGATTCCAGCCATGAAAGCTTTCGACAATATTTAGAAAGTGCTTCCCAATGTTTCTCCTCTTTTCAAGTATTGAATGTAGAGCAGGCAAGGGCTAACTCCAGCCCTCCAGGTGTTTTGGACTTCAGCTCCCACAATTCCTGAAAAATTTCCCATGCCTGATGTAGGGGCAGCCTGCAATGGCCTTAGTCTTGTCTGCTGCAGCATCACCTGGTCAACTGCAAGGAATAGCCAAGTCTGTTGAAATAGCAGAATCTAAAAGCCCAAAAGGTTGCTTGCTTTCCCAAAAGGTTTTGCATTATGATGGTGACCGTGGATCCCACGGCGGGTTCTGGAGGGTTCTAGAGTGTTTCTGTTTTTGCATCCACGTCCATCCCTGGTTCTGCAGCAGCATTCTCTGAAGGCGGTCCTTCACTTGGCGGGCTGGATCTGGCCCTGCAGCTCCTCCTTGTCGCGCTCCATCTTCTTCTCCAGGGCCTCGCGCAGGGATCCCATGTGTTCATAGACAGCCGCAAAGCCTGGCAGGCAGGAAAGGGGAATATTAGGATGCGGATAATAATAATAATAATAATAATAATAATAATAATAATAATAATAATAATAATATCAAATCACCTCTCAAAGAAAGATTCCCCCAGGCACTTCCAAGCCATTAAATGCTAATCAAGGTGGTCAGTTGAAACATTCACACCTAGCTCCAGCAGACAAGAGTCCTTTGTCCCACCCTGGTCAATCCACAGATATATAAACCCTTTTTCCTAGTTCCAACAGACCTCACTACCTCTGAGGATGCTTGCCATAGATGCAGGCAAAACGTCAGGAGAAAATGCCTCTAGAACATGGCCATATAGCCCGGAAAACCTACAACAACCCATAATAATAATAATAATAATAATAATAATAATAATAATAATAATAATAATAATCTTTATTTGTTACCCCGCCACCATCTCCCCAATTGGGACTTGGAGCGGCTTACATGAGGCCGAGCCCAAATGACAATTACAATAAAGAAAACCAAAAACACAAACCGAAGACGCAAACAATAAACAATAACATCATATATAAATAAAATGTAATGTCCATTTGTGGGATTAACAGAACTAAAAAAATCAGTGGGCCAATTGATACCAAATTTGAACAGCATACACCTAACAACCCAACGTATGTCCTTCATTCAAACAATTTTGATTTTGTCATTTGGGAGTTGTAGTTGCTGGGATTTATAGTTCACCTACAATCAAAGAGCATTCTGAACTCCGTCAACGATGGAATTGAACCAAACTTGGCACACAGGACTCCCATGACCGACAGAAAATACTGGAAGGGTTTGGTGGGCATTGACCTTGAGTTTGGGAGTTGTAGTTCACCTGCATCCAGAGAGCACTGTGGACTCAAACAATGATGGATCTGGACCAAACTTGGCACAAGCACTCAATACGCCCAAATATGAACACAGCTGGAGTTTGGGGAAAATAGACCTTAACATTTGGGAGTTGTAGTCAGTGGGATTCACAGTTCACCTACAATCAAAGAGCATTCTGAACCACCCCACGAACAACAGAATCAGGGCAAACTTCCCACACAGAACCCCCATGGCCAACAAAAAAATACTTAAGGCCACCCAATCCAACTCCCTTCATCAGGGCAAGAAAACGTAATCAAAGTCCTCCTGACAAAGAGCCATCCAGCCATAGATAGATAGATAGATAGATAGATAGATAGATAGATAGATAGATAGAGATATACTAGGTAGATAGGTAGGTAGATAGATAGATATGATTCACACACAGAGAGTTATAGTATCATAGATTGGAAAGGGACCCCTAAAGAAGGGCAATTATATGTTGCATGTTCCAGAGTGGGCAAACCAGACACTCTCCACATCAACATTGACAAACAGCAAGAAATACTGTTTACCTACAAGCATAAAGAAATTACATATATTAGAAACCAACACTTTCGCATTACTTTATTTTCCAGATCAACAGACTGGGCCACAGCAATGCGTGGTAGGAGACAGCTAATAATAATAATAATAATAATAATAATAATAATAATGATAATGATAATGATAATAATAATAATAATAATAATAATAATAATAATAATAATAATAGGCGAGAGAAGGGACAAGTCAGTCGGTCTTCTTGGAAGGAAGATGGCATTACCGACCCCCCTGCAAGCGACAAATAAGAGAGGCCTAGCCACTTCTTGCAATTAATTACATGTCCTACATATGAAGAAATTGTAAGACATGTATGGTTTTCTTCCTGGGTTGTAAATGCAGGCATGGGTCAACTTTGGCCCTCCAGGTGTTTGGAACTTCAACTCCCACAATTCCTAACAGCCTACCGATTTGGGAGTTGGAGTCTAAAGCACCGGGGGGGGGGGGGGAGCAAGTTGACAAATGTTTACCTACGGGCCTTTCCAGACAGGCCCTATATCCCAAGATCTGATCCCAGGTTTTCTGTTTATTCCAATTATATGAGTTTAAAGCAGAAAACCTGGGATCAGATCATGTGCATTTCGGGCCTGTCTGGAAGGACCTTAGGTTAAGGTGCTTGGAATTGTGGGGACAAATAATGCAACAAGATGGACATGCTTTTTCCAGAGGCTTATGTGCTGGTACGGCTGTACCAGGAGCTCCCACTTTATTTGCTTTGTATTAAATGTTTACTTGCAGTCAGGGACTCTGCAGATAGGTGGCTTCCTTTGGTTGCAGTCATAGGGCAAGTCACCCATCCATCATCGTTAAGTTTTGGTCCCGCTCCTTGGTCAGGGCAATTGGGAAGGGAAGGGAGCAATTTTTTAGTCAGTCTCAGCAAGGAAAGCTAATGTACAGGACGTGTGCAAGCTTCCCCTGTACAAAAGCTTCAACCCTTAAGACTTTCCGGGGGGAAACAGTCTTAAGAGTCTCCAAAGATTTCCAGGGAAACAGCCCTAAAGACCAAAGAACTCCAGCTGGAGAATATCTAAACCTTTACTGGTAGGTCCACTCAGTGCTTCGAGACACAGTTCGACGCGGTAGTGGAGCCCACATCAGTAAGGCTTAGATTACAGTCAGTCTTGGAGAAGTTAAAAAGAGGATTTTCCTTTAAAGTAAAGAAGAAGTTATTGAAGACAGTTGCCTGTCCTTCGTGGGCAAGGACACATCAGTAAGGCTTAGATTACAGTCAGTCTTGGAGAAGTTAAAAAGAGAATTTTCCTTTAAAGTAAAGAAGAAGTTATTGAAGACAGTTGCCTGTCCTTCGTGGGCAAGATTAGGAATTCACCAGTTGCATAAAGCCTGGAAGCATTTGGTTAACTTTATTGAAGTCAAGAAAAGTTTCTGTTTGATTGTTCATTAATAAAGGACTTTGTTATACTTCACAAGACATTTAAAAATCATTTGTGGTGGAAAACCTCTGAGAATTTCTTTTGGGCCTGTTCCGTCTCCCAGGAGACTGGTTCAATGCTTTTTTGGTTGCTTGAAGTGGCTGCCCCTTGCCTTTCTCTTAGAAGCTGCTGCAGCCTTGCAGGGCCTGGAGTTTGCAGCCAAAGGCGGGAAAAAACCTGTCTGCACACTCTTTGCAGTGATTGGCCTAGGGAGCAGCTCTTAGAGCCCGCCCTTCCTCCTGGGGAGACTCTCCATTTTAGAATCTCCCTGCCCTGATCAGTTCTAAAGAAGCAATTGGATGTGCTGGAGGCCAAGAAAAGGTAGCTTCGACAAATCACCGCAAAAACAATTGAGATAGTATAGTTAGACAAGCTTAATTGAGATAAGTTTAATTAAGAATTGAGAATAATTGAGAATTAAGGTATTATAGTTAGAGTAGCTAAATTGAGTCATAGATAGAATAGAATTGAGTTTTATAGAGTTTATAGGGAGATAGACTGCATTGCTTTTTTCCAAGGCTAGACTTAAGCCTAGATAGATAGGGAAAGATTGGTTCTTTCTAAAGACAGAGGCTCTGGATTAGGGTGAGGGATTCCTGGACCCTTTGCCACTTGGAGAAGGCCGACACAGTGGCTGATGGAGAAGGGAGAGAGGGAATATCTGTTTGATTTTATCTATTGACTGTTTGATTGCAACCTTGAAAGAACCGTACCAAGTCTGCAAGACTTTGAAATAAATATCCCTTTTTGATGTTCAGAACTTGCAATAGACTCAATTGCTGATTATCTCAATTTTCTCAAGAAAGCCCCAGCAGTTTGCCCAGGCATAGGGACAGCACATCATAGTTTTTTTTTTTATAAAGCATCTGGGTGTAACAGCACAGGGCCCCCTGGCTTCCCACTGGGCAAAGGTTGCACATCCTGTTCTAAAGGAAATTCTTTATAGGCCCAGCGCGTGACAGAACACTTAGAGATAAGGAGATAAAAGGGAGGTGTGGGAGAAATGATGTTATGGGAGGGACCGAGGCATTTTAAAGTGGTTCCTGCTGATATAATCTTTGTGAGAGCAACTTTGCCTTCCGGTGAAGAGCTCTCAGTTTTTGGTCCTATGTTCCTGGAATTAATGTATTCAAGTTTCTAAATTATTCTTGCTTCTTGTTCATGTGTAGCATAGGTTGCCTGCCTTGGATTCTTGTCTTTGGAAATCTCTGTGGAGTGACTTTGTGATTTGAATAGTTTTTGGACTCTCGGCTATGTTGAAAACAACCCTTGAACTTTGATATTCTCTTTTGAATTTGCTTATTTTTATCTACTCTTCTTTTAATAAACTCTTATTTATTGGATAACCTGGACAGAGTGTGGTTTGTGGTGAAGAGGTGTTTCAGGGCTCAAGTGCAACACTCCCCCCCCCCCTTGTTCTCCACTGTGTTTTGCTCTTACCAGCATTGACCTCAGCCTTGACCCCCTTGATGTCTTGGTTGAGGTTGGCCTGGAGCGCGGCCAGCTGCCCCTCAATGCGCTCTCCAGCTGCCTTGACCCCGCTGCCGTGCCCTCCTTCCACCGCCACTGCCTTCTGCTGCAGGTCCTCCATGCGGTCCAGCTTTCCCCGGATCTCGCACAGCTGCCGCTCGATTGCCCGGCTGTCTGTTTCCTGGAAAGGTCAGGCAAAAGTATTAAGAAGAGATAAAGTCAAGGGGGAGCTTCCCTTTCTGGCAAAGGCAAACTGGGCTTTGGGTGGAACCAGACCCAGGCTATTATGCCATTGGGCATCCCCATCCCCAGCCCTCCATATCCCTTTCCATTACAAAAGGATGAAATGCAGGTGTGGGCCAACTTCGGCCCTCCCTCCCTCCCGGGTTTCAGATTAAAGATGAAAGGTCCTTTGCCTTTTGGCTAATGCTAACTCTGCGTACACTTACAAGATGCCTTTTTTTTAGCCCCGGGAAAGATGATGATAATAATGATAATAACAATAACAATAAGCTTTATTAACATCCCGCCCCGTCCCCTGAGGGGACTCGGAGCAGCTGACAACAATGTGAACAATGCAAACAATAAACAGTAGTAAACAAATAACCGATTTAAAATTAAATCAACAAAACAATAACACGAAATTGATATAAAAGTGAAACAAAAATATTAAATCAACACAAAACCATGATCCATAAATAAACAGAAAATATGATGTTATATAAAAGCAATTTAAAATGGAGAATCATAGAATCAAAGAGTTGGAAGAGACCTCATGGGCCATCCAGTCCAATCCCATTCTGCCAAGAAGCAGGAATATTGCATTCAAATCACCCCTGAAAGATGGCCATCCAGCCTCTGTTTAAAAGCTTCCAAAGAAGGAGCCTCCACCACACTCCGGGGCAGAGAGTTCCACTGCTGAACGGCTCTCACAGTCAGGAAGTTCTTCCTCATGTTCAGATGGAATCTCCTTTCTTGTAGTTTGAAGCCATTGTTCCATTGCATCCTAGTCTCTAGGGAAGCAGAAAACAAGCTTGCTCCCTCCTCCCTGTGGCTTCCTCTCACATATTTATACATGGCTATCATGTCTCCTCTCATCCTTCTCTTCTTCAGGCTAAACATGCCCAGCTCCTTAAGCTGCTCCTCATAGGGCTTGTTCTCCAGACCCTTGATCATTTTAGTTGCCCTCCTCTGGACACATTCCAGCTTGTCAATATCTCTCTTGAATTGTGGTGCCCAGAATTGGACACAATATTCCAGGTGTGGTCTAACCAAAGCAGAATAGAGCATGGGTAGCATTACTTCCTATCTAGACACTATGCTCCTATGATGCAGGCCAAAATCCCATTGGCTTTTTTTGCGCCACCACATCACATTGTTGGCTCATGTTTAACTTGTTGTCCACAAGGACTCCAAGGTCTTTTTCACACCTACTGTTCTCAAGCCAGGCATTGTCCCCCATTCTGTATCTTTGCATTTTGTTTTTCCTGCCTAAGTGGAGTATCTTGCATTTGTCCCAGTTGAACTTCATTTTGTTAGTTTTGGCTCATCTCTCTAAGGAAGGAAGGCCAAAGTTGGCCCAGGGCCAACTTCGGAGGGGGGCCACATCGAAGGGTGTGGAGAGTTGGATTCAGCCTGCAGGGCTTGCATTGGGCACATACAGCCTAGGTGTAACCTGTGCGTACGTTCTTCTCTTTGATGGCCAGGGAAAGCCGGTCCACCTTCTCTGCAAACTCCTTCTGGAAGCGGCCCTGCTCCTGCTCCACCCAGCTGCGCGCTGAAGAGATCTGGGCGCTCAGGTAATCGATGGCGTCCTGCAACCTGAGTGGGACAGCATTCAGGAAAGACGGTCAGGCACATAGCATCATTGAAAAAGGGACTCCCCCCTCCTCTAATAATAACAATAAATATGCATTTGTAACTGACATATCTTAGCTGGGTCTCAGGCCCCAGACCAGCCTCAAACATCCCTGGGAGGATTAATCTAATCACTTACCAAGTCTACAAGACAAACCGAGTCCCCTTCCACACAGCTGTATAAAATCCACATTGAACGGAATTATATGGCAATGTGGACACACATAACCCAGTTCAACAAAGATATTGTGGGTTATCTGCCTTGATATTCTGCCGTGGCAACCCCACGTAGTTTTCTAAGATCTACAGAGACACTCACTGGAACACCTCAGCAAGCGGGAGTCCAAAAGTGGCAGGCTCAAATCCAGAACCTCAACCAATGGCTGATACCAGATGAGAGACTCCCCCCTGGGCACACAGAAGACTGGGCGACTTGGAAGGTGCTGAACAGACTGCGCTCCGGCACCACGAGATGCAGAGCCAACCTTCAGAAATGGGGCTACAAAATTGAATCCAAGATATGCGAGTGTGGAGAAGAGAAAACCACTGACCACCTGCTGCAATGCAACCTGAGTCCTGCCACATGCAAAAGGGAGGACCTCCTTGCGGCAACACCAGAAGCACTCCAAGTGGCCAGATACTGGTCAAAGGACATTTAATCAACTACCAAGCTTGCAAACTTTGTCTTTTGTCTGTTTGTTTGTTTTGTTCTGTTAGAAATGTAATACAATTGTCTGGTTGCCCCTGACACCATCTATATATATAAATCTGTAAGGGGCGTCCAACGGGACAGCAAAACTCAAAACCCCCCCAACGAAAATTAACCAAAATTCCCATGCACCTACCACAACCCACAAGGTACAAACAAATCGAATCAAAATAAAAAACAACACAACAACACACTCACAAAACGACAAAACAACTGAGCATGCGCAATGGCACCCAGCCGCAAGTTCCCTGGCGCGCGCACATGGCCTGCCGGCCAATGCTCCCTCCGCGCAAGCCACGCCCCATCCTCCCATCGCCCCGCCCACGCGAGCACCCCACACCACGGCCCCTCCTTCCCCTGCCCTCCTCCCCCTCCTCCCCCTCCTTCATCTTACCCTGCCCACGCCGCCTCCAAGCCCCGCCCTGTCAAAACCACCACCCCTTCCCTCCCTGAGTCAATCCTTCCCTCCTCCCACCCCCCTCCGGTAAGACACGCCCCCTTCCTTCGCCCCGGCGGGCCCAATCAAGGAAACATGGAAGCAAAGAGGGAAGGAAAGAAGGAAAGAGGTAGAGAAGGAAGAAAAGAGAGAAAGAGGAAATGAAGAGGGATGGAAGAGAAAGAAAGAGAAAGAGGGGGGAAGGAAGGACAGACAAAAGGAAGAATGGAAACAAAAACCACAGGAAGGAAGAAAGGAAAGAGGCAGAGAAGGAAGAAAGAGAAAGGGAAGGAAAAGAAAAAAGGAAGAAGGAAAGAGGAAGAGAAGGAAGGAAGGAAGGAAGGACAGAAAAGGAAAGAAAGAGGTACTGAAGGAAGGAAGAAGAGAAAGTAGAAAGGAAAGAAAAATAAAAGGAAGGAAAGGCAGGAAAGAGGTAAAGAAGGAAGGAGAAAAGGAAATAAAAAATGAAAGAAGGAAGGAAACATGGAGGGAAGAAAGGAGGCAAAGGAAGAAAGGGGGAGGGAATGAAGGAAAGAGAGAAGGATGAAACCAAGGAGCGAAAGAAGGAAAGAAAGAAAGAAAGAGGTAGAGAAGGAAGAAAGGAGAGAAAGGGGAGAAAAAGGGGGAAGGAATAGGTAGGTACCTCTCTTTCATAATAGACCAGATATCTACCTCTACTTTGAAAAGATTTACTATAGGCCACAGCAACGCGTGGCAGGGTACAGCTACTAAATAAATAAGGGAGTACAGTGTGCTGAACGATGGACCTACACTGCCCTCTGGTGGCTGATAACTTATTTCAATAACAATAGGAAAAGATTGGAATGAGTTTGTGCTCTTTTCCAGCCTCTGTGTCTCCGCTCTCTCTGAACATGGAAGCCCCATTGGGTCATTACGGTGGACCTTTCCAAAGTGAAATGTTACACTTCCCGTTCTGCTTCCCAAATATAATATTATAGCAGAGGTGAGTAGGTCTCCATCTCTGCAAAACTAGGCCCAGCGACACTCACTTTGTGTCCAGAAGGTGCAGCTGCTGGTTGCTCTCTTTGTAGGTGAACTTCAGCTTGGCTTCCTGCTGTATGATGGAGGTCTCTATCCTGTTCAACAGGTGGGAAATCTGGAAAGGAAGAAGAGATTGTCGTTCCTTCCTCTGCTGTTATCAACCTGAGACACTGGGCCCCTTCCAGAAAAAGGCAAAATAGCCATGAGAGATAGGAAACAGTAGGCAAGGAAGGGTAAACAGCAAGGAAAAGAGCCGCAAAACCCAGGGAGCAACACTAAGAGAAGTCAGAATGAGCTTGGTGTATTCCAAGCCGATTGGAACACACTTAGTCTTAATCCTTTTTTTCTACTGGTCTTAAGCCCCTTTGTTGGATTTATTTATTTATTTATTTACTTTGCTTGTATACCGCAGTTTCTCAGCCCGTAGGCGACTCAACGCAGTTCACAACAAGAGCAAAAAGTCAATCCTAACAACATACAATATTTAAAAAACCATTAACAGCATAATATACAAAGTAATGACACATCAATAAACAACACATTAACGTCTCGTAACTAGAATCGTGATCCAATTTGTCATCCGTAATTCCGTTTACCTATATTCATCGTATTCATTGCACTGTTTATCCGAACGCCTGTTCAAATAGCCAGGTTTTTAGTTTTCTTCGAAACACCATTAATGAAGGGGCTGATCTAATGTCCATGGGAAGGGCATTCCACAGCCGAGGGGCCACCACAGAGAAGGCCCTGTCCCTCGTCCCCACCAGCTGTGCCTGTGATGCAGGCGGGATCGAGAGCAGGGCCTCCCCAGAAGATCTTAAAGTCCTGGTGGGTTCATAGGCAGAGATACGTTCGGATAGGTAGCTTGGGCCAGAACCGTTTAGGGCTTTATAGGCCAACGCCAGCACTTTGAATTGAGCCCGGTAGCAAATCGGCAGCCAGTGGAGCTGGTGCAGCAGAGGAGTTGTATGCTCCCTGCGCTCCGCTCCTGTTAGTATCATGGCTGCCGAGCGTTGGACTAGTTGGAGCTTCCGAGCTGTCTTCAAAGGCAACCCCACGTAGAGAGCGTTGCAGTAGTCTAAACGGGATGTAACCAGAGCGTGGACTACCGTGGCCAAGTCAGACTTCCCAAGGTACGGGCGCAGCTGGCGCACAAGCTTTAATTGTGCAAAAGCTCCCCTGGCCACCGCCGAGACCTGGGGTTCCAGGCTCAGCGATGAGCCAGGATCACACCCAAGCTGCGAACCTGCATCTTCAGGGGGAGTGCAACCCCATCCAACACAGGCTGTAACCCTATGCCCTGTTCGGCCTTGCGACTGACCAGGAGTACCTCTGCCTTGTCTGGATTCAATTTCAATTTGTTCGCCCTCATCCAGACCGTCACAGCGGCCAAGCACCGGTTCAGGACCTGGACAGCCTCCTTAGTAGTAGGTGGGAAGGAGTGACAGAGTTGGACATCATCTGCGTACAATGTGTTGCAATAGCGGATTCCTAGGTTAGTTTAGTGTTTATTATTGTTTTGGTAATTTAATATTTAAATAATTTCATTTACGTATTTAAGTGATATTTGTTCCCTTCCATAGACAGTAATGGAGGGGAGGTACCGGAAGACCCCTGCCCAGGAGAGACTACACCCCTGTAAGTCTGGCTACATTGAAACAATTGAGTGTTGGGGTTCAGCCTGAGTTTGAACTTGACCCTGATTCTCTGGTTGTCCTTCCTGATGCTAATGAAAATATATTTACTGATGCTAATGAAAATGTACTTCCTGATGCTAATGAAAATGTACTTCTTGATGCCAATGCTCCTGAAATTAGTGAGGAAGAAACTTCTGTAGATTTGGAAAATGAAAGTACCAGTGTTCATGAGAATGTTTCAGAGGGAAGCCATGACCTTTCACTCCCTTCTGCACCTGGGAACCTTAATGAGAATAGAAGGGGCCAGATCTGGCAAGACAGAAGTAAATCACTCAGCTTGCGAAGGTCTTCCAGATTAAAAGAAATACAAACAACGGCTTCAAAGCAGGGAGGCGTTTCACGAAATCAATTCTTCAGCTTTAAGTGCCTTCCGCTGGGCTGACTTTCTCAGTTCAGGCATCGTTTCAGATTGATGAAGACCTTGGCAGTTCTCCCGGTTTCCCTGGCCATCGTCTTGAAAGATTTCTAGGATATCAAGTACAGTTAGTGGATTGCTAACAGGTTCCAGTATTTTACAGTGTGGCTTTGGGTTTTCATCTTGTTCATGGAAATTCATGTTTGCTGATTTTGCTGTGGCTTTTGACTTTGCATTTTTCCTTTATTTTGTAACCATTTTTCTTCAATAAAAAAGGATTGTTTTTTTCACAGTCAAGTGTGGTGGATAGTTATCTTAGGGCCTCGTTTCTTGCTCTGGATTGCTACACTGAACATGTGCTCCTCCAATGTGTGTTCAGGGGCGGCTCAACCCATTACGCAAAGTAAGCATTTGCAGTATAGTTGATTTTGCCCAGGGACGCTCTTGAGGCGCTCTTGGGGGAAAATAGACCTTGACATATGCGAGTTGTAGTTACTGGGATGTATAGTTCACCTACAATCAAAGAGCATTCTGAACTCCACCAATGATGGAATTGAACCAAATATGGCACACAGAACTCTCACGACGAACAGAAAATATATATCGGTGATTGGTTGGGGGGCGGGGGCGCCAAAATACTGTTTGCTTACCGTTGAAAATTACCTAGGGCCGCCTCTGTGTGCGCCCCCCCTCCCGGAAGTGCATGACTCCGATGGGAATACCTGCAGGTTCATTGGAACACGCAAGCCACCTCACGTTGTTGTTGTTGTTGTTGTTGTTGTTGTTGTTGTTGTTGTTATATTTATTGTATTTCTTTATACCCCACTTTATCTCCCCCAAAGGACACTCAAAGCGGCTATGTATCTATTATTATGAGGATGATTATTATTTATACCCCGCTTTACCTCTATATCCCGCAGGAGACTCAAAGCGGCTTAACATAAAAAGCATCAGCATACAATTTAAAAGATAGAAATATACAAACACTAAAACAGAATTAAATATAAACAGTATTTTCAAATTTCAGTTAAAACGTATTCCCAGTTAAAAGCCTAGAATGAGGGGAGAGACCCCGCGCGAGCTAGAGCCGTCCAGTCCAACCCCCTTCTCTCTTTCTTCAGGAAAAGCCACATCAAAGCCTTCCCGGCAGATGGCCACCCAGCCTCTGCTCAAAAGCCATTCCAGGGATCTTGACTTTGGTCACTCAAGAGTAGGTGTAACTCAATGCCATACCGGTCTATCTATTCTAAGCCAAACTCTGCCTATACCTGAATCTCGGCTTCTTTAATTTTGGACTCCAAGATCAGCTTCGTCGCCTGCTGGTCTTTGCTCAGGTTCTGGAGCCTCTCGTAGGTGACTTTGTGTTCAGCCGACAAGCGGGCCAATCCCGCATCGCACCTGCAGCCAGGTAAGGGAAGGGAAGGAAGGTGAAAATCTATATATCTATATAAATAAAAATGTAATATTTGTAATATTTGTGGGATTAACATAACTCAAAAATCACTGGATGAATTGACACCAAATTTGGACACAATACACCTATCAGGCAAACGAGGGACCATCACTCATAAAAACACTGAAAAACACAGCAGAAGAGGCTTAAAAAGCTTTCTGGCTTCATGAGGATATGCTTGGTTCCAGCCACAGGGGGAGCTGCCACTTCACCATCCATTTGTGACACCGAGTCCTTGATGGAGTACTTCCTCATTCTTATGCACACTGCTAGAAGTTTTTATGGTGTTGTAAATTAATTAAATTAGCATCCCCTCATAAAGAGGTACCTAAACTTCCTACTTAACAGATGCAACTGTCTTTCAGGCTGCATGTCAACAATAAGCTAGACTATTAAGTGTTAGGGCAGATTGTATGGAAGAATGCGATCCTGTAGGGCCCTGAAGGTCAAAACCAACACTGCACACAATGGGTTGACCAATCCAAAATGTTATATAATATGATTATATTATTTATTATATTATATATATGCCATCCCCTGCCACGCATTGCTGTGGCCCAGTCTGGTGATCCGAAATAAAAGTAATGAGAAAGTGTTGGTTTCTAATATATATAATTATGCTTGTTAAACAGTATTTCTTGTTGTTTCTTTGTCAGTGTTGATGTGGAGAGTGTCTGGTTTGCCTACTCTGGAACATGCAACATATAGTTGTCCTTCTTTAGGGGTCCCTTTCAAATCTATGATACTATATCTCTGTGTGTTTGAATCATATATATCTATCTATATCTATGGCTGGAGGGCTCTTTGTCAGGAGGGCTTTGATTACGTTTTCTTGCCCTGGTGAAGGGAGTTGGACTGGATGGCCTTAAGTATTTTCTGTTGGTCATGGGGGTTCTGTGTGGGAAGTTTGGCCCAATTCTATCGGTGGTGGGATTCAGAATGCTCTGTGATTGTAGGTGAACTATAAATCCCAGCAACTACAACTCCCAAATGTCAAGATTCTATTTTCCCCAAACTCCACCAGTGTTCACATTTGGGCATATCGAGTATTCGTGTAGAGTTTGGTCCAGATCCATCATTGTTTGAGTCCACAGTGATCTCTGGATGTAGGTGAACTACAACTCCAAAACCAAAGGACACTGCTCACCAAACCCTTCCAGTATTTTCTGTTGGTCATGGGAGAACTGTGTGCCACGTTTGGTTCAATTCCATCATTGGTGGGGGTCAGAATGCTCTGTGATTGTAGGTGAACTATAAATCCCAGCAAGTACAACTCCCAAATGTCAAGATTCTATTTTCCCCAAACTCTACCAGTGTTCACATTTGGACATACTGAGTATTCGTGTAGAGTTTGGTCCAGATCCATTATTGTTTGAGACCACAACGATCTCTGGATGTAGGTGAACTACAACTCCAAAACCAAAGAACACTGCCCACCAAACACAGTATTTTCTGTTCGTCACAGGAAAACTGTGTGCCAAGTTTGGTCCAATTCTATTGTCAGTGGGGTTCAGAATGCTCTTTGCTTGTAGGTGAACTATAAATCCCAGCAACTACAACTCCGAAATGACAAAATCATTTTTTTGAGTGAAGGACATACATTGGTTTGTTAGGTGTCTTGTGTCCAAATTTGGTGTCAATTCGTCCAGTGGTTATTGAATTCTGTTAATCCCACAAACGAACATTACATTTTTATTTATATAGATGATGATGATGATGATGATGATGATTATTATTCCCTTTGGGTCCCATTCCAGTGGACAGACGGCGGAGGGAGAGAAGCCTTCTAGATGTGGCCCGCTACCTACCTGGCGACGCGGCCCCGCAGGTCTCCCAAGCCGGACAACTGGCGCATCTCCAGGCTCTTCAGGGTGGAGTTGGTCCCGTAACTGAGGCTGTCCCTGACCCGGATCTGCTCCTGCAGCATCTGGAAGGGAGGGAGGCAGGCAGGCAGGAAGCAAGGAAGGAATTATTACTATTAATGATGTCAAGCACCCCCCCCCCCCAAATAAGGGATAGTGACTTATAGTTCTGCAAAGGACAAAGGTACCAGACTGCACAGTAGGGGTTAAGTCTTGGTCAATTTGTCAAGGCCTTCACAAACAATGAGGACCCCATGAAACTTTGGGAATGGCTAGACCTCAGGGTCTCTGCCTCTCTCTCGAGAGAGAGAGCTGTAGTTTTCCAAGGACCATGGGACCGGCTTCCATCCCAGCGCTGCAGGGCTTTGCGTCTTGACCCAGTGGAACTCCATAGACTCCCTTTGGTGGCTTTTTGAATTCTGCTACATTCCTGGACTTCACTCTCTTCAAGGACTCGCTCTCTACCCATGAACTTTCTTCAAGACAACTTATGAATTCATGCTGTGTCCTGATATCGTCTGCTTTTTATAATTGGTATTATTAATCTCTCTCTGGGGTCCCGGATGGGAAGATAGCTGCATGTGATTTCCCTGTGTATAATTTCTATATGTAAGGGAACCCCCTGGCCTTCAGAAACAAAAGACTGAAACCTCCCGTCAAAGACACCTTTGCATGGATAAAAGAAGGAGATTCTTATCTCTAGCCTCGGAAGGTGGCCCACTAGAGTAAAGCATTGTTTGACAAAAGTTTCTGTAAGATAAGGGGAAACCTTCCCCTCTGCTTTGTTTACTTAGCATTAACCTCAGGCTGCCATCATTGTTCCCCTGTCTCACAGCCAGGAAGGATCAGGACACATGTTGACCCTTTGTCTCACAAGAGCACATGGCATTCCTTTGTTTAAGGACCCCTTTCCCAGATTCCTTTGTGCTCCCTCTTCCCGCCTCCATTTCTCCTGATTGGCTGTCGCCACCAGGTGGCAGAGGTCTCCCCATTGGTTCCTACGGACCACTGGAACCCATCGCCCAATCATGGCAGGGAACAACAGAGAAGTCGGGGCGGGGGGTTTGAAATCTGCAAATTTGAATTTACTATAAATATGACTGCATTGGTGTAATCTCCTCATGCTTAGCTTGGCGAAAGATTGCAGCTTTGCATCCGGTTTCAGCTGAATCGCATTATACTTCGATGGCTCTTCTTCAACTGGTGAGACTTTTCATTGGGAAATCAGGGAAAAATATGGGATGCTTCTCTGTCTCGCCAGGGAAAAAAGAACTCTTTGATGAGTCTAATTGGTCTCTGCCTCCTGGCAAAGACCCCTAAATTTTAGCTCTATAACATTATTACTACTAACTTTATTTATCCCCCTCTGTTCTCACTGAGAAGCTGCTGCCTGTCATTTAGTGATACACCCCAAGAGAATCTGCACGTGTATGAGTTTATGGCAGAAGAAAAAATACTCTCTGCCAAGCTTCAAACAAGAGGTGCAAGTGTACTTTTGTCGTTGCAGGTGAAATATGGCTCATGTGCAAAAGGAGGGGGTCTCCCTTTGGGAACCGAGTCCTAACTCTCTTGGCCTCTGAAAGCACACTCAAGACTTTTGGACAGAAGCGGAAGAAGGAGGAGAAGGAGAAGAGGAGGAAGAGAGGGAACAGAGCTCTACATTCAGACAGGAAGCAATAATAATAATAATAATAATAATAATAATAATAATAATAATAATAATAATAATAATTTATTTATACCTCGCTATCATCTCTCAAGGGACTCGGTGCGGCTTACATGAGGCCGAGCCCACAATACATCAATAATAAAAGCAATAACAAGAAATAATACAAAACAATAAAACTCATAACAAAAATAAGCAATAAACATTAGCAGTAACACAACGACATTTAAAACCTATGGCTGGGCCAAATTAATAATTAAAATTTAAAGATAATGCTGAGCATGAACAGATGAAATATGAATTTTCAGAGAGGGATGGGGCATGCAGACATTCCTAGATCCATAGTAAAGTGCATTTAGAGGACATATTGCGGGGAGTTTCCTTATTCTGGGAAGGCACACTGGAACATCCACGTTTTCAGGCTCCTCCTAAAGACTGCCAAAGTTGCGGCATGCCTGATGTCCTTGGGGAGTGAGTTCCAGAGTTGAGGGGCCACCACCGAGAAGGCCCTCTCCCTTGTCCCAACCAATTGCACCTGCGATGGCGGTGGGAGCATGAGCAGGGCCTCTCCAGATGATTGAAGGGATCGTGTGGGTTCGTACACAGAAATGCAGTCACGCAGGTAGGAGGGTCCCAAACTGTTCAGGTCTTTGTAGGTAAGAACCTGGGACCGGAAAATGAACGGCAGCCAGTGGAGCTCCTTAAACAGAAGGTAGAGCTACGGGAGGATACCATAAGCTGAAAGGAATAACCAGCAAATTGTATAAGATAAAAATTGATATTAAGGGGGGGGGGGGGAATTAAGGACGCAACACTAAGAGAGATATAGTAGGAAGACCTAGGGATTTGAATAAAAGAAGCGGATTGGGTACAATTATGGGATCAAAGATATTTAAAGAATTTATCGATACATGTTAAAGAAAATCATTATAAATTGGTTTGGGAATGGTACTTAACACCAGTAAAGATTGCAAATATTAATAGGAATGCCACCAAAAAATGTTAGAGAGGCTGGCAGGAGGTGGGTACATATATACATATGTGGTGGCAATGTAAATACGTAAATGAATTTTGGGGAAAGTATTTGGAGAGATAGAAGCTATAATGGATATGAAGATAGGAAAAAGTGCAAGCATTGCATTGTTGTCACTATATAATGTTAAGAAATTGGGAAAAAAACAGAGAAAGATGCAATAGATAACATGTTAACTGCAGCAAGATTACTGATAGCTGATAAATATATCAATTGAAGAATGGTATAAAGAACTATGGAAGCTAGCAATAAACGATAAATTGACATGTAGGTCAAGAGTCAGGAAAGGGGTATGGAAGGAAAACGACTTTGATAAAGTTTGGAAAAAATTATTGAGAATGGCTTAAAAGAAGTAGACGGGAAATTACATCCACAAGAAGAAATTGTATTTTGGGAAGAGAGTGTAAATTGAAGTGGCTCGGAAGGGGGGGGGCACAGAGGTGATTGATACACACACACACACAAGATATATACACACTTATAGTTGATGTAATGAATTAAGGATGGAATATAAGAGTATTGAAGGTATTGATGTATTGATGTATTCTAAGAAAACCAATAATATATATATATTTTAAAAGAACACTAATTTAATTAATTAAACCTTTAATTTAGCCAAATAAGTGGTAGTGAAAGCTCTGGGCCCTCTGAACCATTCCCAGCATCCCCAGCCTCATCTTCTGAACACTCAGAATCTGTCCAGGCTACAACAATGCCTTGCCTTTAGAGAAGCCCTGCTTGGCTGTCCCCATACCTCGATGTCTCGGTTGAGCTGGCGCACGATGGCAGTGATGTTGCGGATGTGCTCCTCCAGCAGCTGCCGGGCCAGCCGGTCCCCACCGCCCTTGTTCTGCATGCGGTGCAGAGTGCAGACAATGTCCTCCTTGATGCGGAAGGCATGCTCCACCAGAGCCGCCGTGGTCTTCTCATGGCTCAAGATGCGGTCCTCCAGCTGGTCCACCAGCCGCGCTGAGCCCAAGGGCACCGCCGTCAGCGCATGGCTGTGCAGGGGGAGGTTCCGGACACGCCTATGGCAAGCAAGAAAGAGACAGGCCTTGAGAAAGGTAACCACAAGGACACAATGCACAACCGGCACGGCTTTCTAGCTGTTTACCATAACAAACACGACCATTGGGAGCAATAGAGAAACATGCATTTCCCTTATTCCTATTAGGAATCTCTTTGGGATGCGTTCCTTGCTGCTATCCTATCTATCAATTCTTATCATCAGTCCATTCATTTCTCTCTCTCTCTCTCTCTCTCTCTCCATCCATCCATCCATCCAATCATCTGTCCATTCATCTGTCCCTCTCTTTCTCTCCCCTGCCCATTCATCTATCCTATCCAATCTGTCTATCTCGCCTATCATCCATCCATTTGTCTGTCCACCTTTCTATCCTATCTATCTATTCCTATCATCCATCCATTTGTCTATCTATCTTTTTATCCTTCCTACCTACCTACCTACCTATCTAATCTAACATTTCTCTATCTGGTTGTGCTCCCACAGAAGTTGAGGAAGCAAGAAGCCATCTTTGCTCCCTTTGCTTCTGGTAAGCCTTCTCTTAGAGTGCATTAGAAATCTGAGTGTGTGCTTGAGACTAGCTGCTCTGAGTGTTTGTTTTGTTTGGAAGGTGAGCCAAGGCTAAATTTTTTAGCCAGCAGTGATTGACAGTTTCAGGGCAGC